AACCTCTACCAGCTTGCAAAGAATGTCTAGAATATCATAGATTCATGGAATAGATGACTTGGAAGGGGCCATCAGGTACAACTTCCTACTCAGTGCAGGACTCCAGGTTCAAGCATCCCTCACAGCTGCATCTCAAATGCCTCAAATGCCTCCCAGGGTCATGGGCTCCATTGTTGTACTGCTCTGTCAGGAATTTTTTTCTGATATCGACCCAGAATCTGGCTTCCTGTGACTTGAGCCTGTTAAGTCCATGTTCTGTACCTGGGATGACTGGGAAGAGATCCTGTCCTTCCTTGTTCTGACAACTTTTCAAGTACTATCATGTCCCCGCTCAGTTCTCTTCTCCAAGCAAAAACATGCCCAGTTCTTTCCACCTCTCCTCACAGGGCTTTGTTTCCAGTCCCTGGATCATCCTTGTTGTCTTCCTCTGAACTCCTTCCAGCTCGTCTGCATCCTTCTTAAACCGTGGTGCCCAGAATAGGACACGGGACCCCAGAGGAGGCATAACCAAGTGCTGAGTAGAGGAGAAGTGATCTGGAAGAGATGTTCCTATAATGCAGCCTAAAATAGCATTTGCCCTTTTTGCAGTCACATCACCCTGGTGACTCTCATTCAGCTTATGAGATACAACAATCCCAAGGTCTTTCTCACATGCAGTATTGCTGAGACAAGTATTCCCCGTCTGCAAGGATGCCGTGCCTTTCCTGCTAAAGCGAAAGACTTGCCATTCTCCTCCTTGTGTGGGTCTCTACCAGAAAGGGTCACGGTGCTTCAGCGGCTGTGGCACTGGACTCGCTGCCTTCTTGTCCTGTCAAATAGTCCCCCCCGCTCCTCCTCCTCCTCCTCCTCCTCAGGAAGAGATGGCCTTAGAGGGAAGGAGGTGCTGCTGAGCTGAAGGAGATCTCATTATCTCATGTGATCTAATTTAAACCAGTCAGCTCTGCCTTTTGGAATGAAGTCAGCACATCTTTTCAGCTTTCTTGCTAGAATGATGCCTCTCTTGAAGTGCAGATTCCAAGACTGGTCCAAATATTGGGCTGTTTAGGTGGGGGAAATGAGGGTGCCTGCAAAAGAAACCCTGGCTGGCTGCTGACTTTCTGCTCTAGGGAAGCCACTTACAATGGTCCTAATCCCACAGCTCATGTAAGGAATGCCACTTTCTTTCTTCTAAATGCTCCACACCTGCTCCAGCAAGCCAACCACTAGGGTGGACTTGCTGCCTCTTGTTTACTGTGTCACCAATGGTTGGTACATCACAGCTGAAAGCCCCTCCCTTGATGCCACCCACATCTTCTCGCTGGCTCTCTTCCCCTCTTTTGCCTGAAGCTTGAGATCTGCTTACGGACTGCTCAGTCCCTGAGCACAGCCAAGGGGTCACGCAGCTTAATGGAGGTGGGAAGGGCCTCGTGCTTGCTCCACAGTGAGTATTCTGCCAGCTGAAAGCACAGGAGACCCTGTGATGGAGCCCCTGCTTTGCATGCAGAAGATTATTTGCAAGCCCTGGTGGCATCTCCAGGGAGGGCTGAGAAAAGGGGTCTTACCTGAAACCCCAGTGTCCTGCTTTACAGGATCATGAAGTGGGGGGTAAGCGACAGTGGCCAACCTCCCTGCCACATGTATCAGAGGATGTTGCACAAGTCTCAGGAGTCCCGCATTGAGCAGGGGGTTGGACTAGATGCCCTTACAAGCCTCTTCTAATGCTACTGTTCCGTGGTTCTATGGTTCCACGCTTGCTGGCACAGCTTGCCTGGTTGGGCAAACCTAGAGAGGGTGGCTCATGATCACAGTTTCCATAGCTTGTTAGCCAGACCAACAAGCCACCCTTTCTCAGCAAGCACCACGTGGCAAGTTGCACTGGTGAGAATAATCACGCCGTTCCTCCCAGCATGCAACCAACACGTGCAGCAGGAGAAATCACAGTATCACAGAGTGGGAAATGGCCAGAGGGCCATCGGGTCCAACCCCCTGCTAAGCGCAGGACACCAAGTTAAACCGTCCCTCAGACGGCCGTCCAGTTGCATCTTGAATGTCTCTAGTGCGGGAGAGCCCACAGCCTCCCTAGGCAACTGGTTCCACTGTCGTATCACTCTGTATCGTCTGCAGATTTGATGATCATTCCTTGTACTTCTTCATCTAAATCAGTTATGGTGAACCTTTTCAAGACCGAGTGCCAAATTGCAACCCAAAACCCACTTATTTATCGCAAAGTGCCAACACTACAATAATACCTGAAAACTGAGGTTTTAGTTTAGAAAAAACAAGTCAACCAATCCAAGCAATATATATATATATTAACTGGCATGTGAAAGCTCGGACATGTTGCGGCTCGTGACATCATCGCCAAGTGCTGCTGCTCCTTTCTGAGCATGCGCATGGCCCATATGTGCACTGTTATCCAATGCTTGACTGCTGGGGCAATGCTGGGGTGACTTCTCAAGCGTGCTGACAGAGAGGGCTCTGCATGCACGCAGTGGGACGCATACCATAGGTTCACCACTACTGCTCTAAGCCTACCATGGTACATTCCCCTCAACCTAATAGAGGGCGAATGTTCCATTGAAAGGGGGGCGATTTTGAAAAAGCCTTCCTTAAGTAGTCTTTTCTCACAGCTCATCATTTCTGCCCATTCTGAACACATTCCAACCCTCAAAATCACGCCAGGACGCCTCGTTTTTCTAACCCTAACGCTACCCCAGCGCAAACCTAGCCCTACTTACTATAGGGCAAAAGTTCCATTGAAAAGAGGGTGATTTTGAAAAAGCCTTCCTTGAATAGATTTTTCTGCACTGCTCATCATTTCTGCCTTTTCTAAACACATTCCAACTATCAAAATCATGCCAGAACACCTCATTTTCCTAACCCTAACCCTACCCTGGTGCACACCCCAAACCCTAATATATGGCGACAGTTCAACTGAAAATAATGCAATTTTTAAAAAGCCTTCCTTGAGTAGCTTTTTCTGCACTGCTCCTCATTTCTGCCCATTCTAAACACATTGCAGGCATCAAAACCATGCCAGGAGACCTCGTTTTTCCAACCCTAACCCTACTGTGGTGCACACCCCTAACCCTAATATAGGGCGAATGTTCCATTGAAAAGAGGGCAATTTTGAAAAAGCCATCCTTGAGGAGCTTTTTCTGCAAAGCTTATCATTTCTGCCTGTTCTGAACACATTCCAACCATCAAAATCATGCCAGGACACCTCGTTTTTCTAAGCCTAACCCAGTGATGGTGAACCTTTTAGAGACTGAGTGCCCAAACTGCAACCCAAAACCCACTTATTCATTGCAAAGTCCCAACACTGCAATCAAACCTGGAAACGGAGGTTTTAGTTTAGAAGAAACAACTCATAGCCAGTCCAAGGAAATATATATCCTTGGCAGCGCACTGACTGGCCATGCGCAAGCTTGGATGAGTCATGGCTAATGAATCATGGCTCGTGACATCATCGCCTGGCGCCGCTATTCCTTTCCAAGCATGCGCACGGCTCCTACATGCACTGTTATCCAATGCTTGGCTGCTGGGGTGATGCTGGGGCGACTTGGCTCTCATGCTGACAGAGAGGGCTCTGTGTGCCTGCTGTGGCATGTGTGCCGTAGGTTCGCCGCCACTGATCTAAATCATTAATAAGGATGTGGTAGAGCCCTGTTTCTAGGGCTGAACCCTGCAGCACCCCAATAGTTACCTTCCTCCAGTTTGAGAAGGTACCATTGAGCATGCTTCCTGACCAAATTTGGAGGCCTGATAGCTTTTCTGTCTGGTCCCCATTTTGCTAATTTGCTTATCTGAATGTCATGGGGCATTATGTCGAAAGCTTTGTTAAAGTAGAGATTGATTATGTTCACAGTGTTCCCTCTGTCCATTTGGGAGGTTATCCAGTCAAAACGTGAGATTAAATTATTCTGACAGGATTTATTTTGATAAATCCATGTTGGCTTTTATTAATCTCTGCATTTTCTTTGATGTGCTTACAGATTGATTTATTTAAACTTGAGCCCATTGTTCCATGTCATAGTATCACAGAATAGTAGAGTTGGAAGTGTCCTAGAAGGCCATCAGGTCTGCCCTCCAACTGTTGCCCTGTGAGGAGAATTCATTGTCATGTCTGGTTTGTTTACATGTTCATGGAATGAACTTGATCTCAGAACCCACCAACTTCCAGCACCATGGGACCTTTGTGGCATAAGAAATCTTGCAAAGGCAGAACAAGCTGTTTCCTTGACTGCTGGAATTCACTCTTCCCCAAAGATACGTATCAAGTGACCAGATGTTTCCAGCTAGATACTTTTCATGAATTTGCCCATTTGCTCAGCCACAGAATTTTAGAGGAGGCCCGGGAGTTGCTGAGGCTCCATCAGTGAGGGTGTTCAAAGATAGGCTGGACATGCACATGGTGGGCATGTCATGAGCGGAGCCAGGGGTCAGACTAGATGGCCCGGGAGACCCCTTCTGACTCGCTCTGTTTCTCTGTTTCTAAGTTTCAGCCTTCAGTTTGTAACACACTGAGCTTTCCCATCACATTTTCCATTTTTGCGCAAAACATCTATTGAGGAAGAAAAGACGGGATCGCTGAACAAGTTTTCGGGGGGCAGCACTAGAGATCTGCCGCTGGAAGCACATTGTGTGGGCGAGTAAGAAACCCCTTGAAATCCCTCCTTTCGGCCTCTGTAGACAGAACTAGGGATAGGAGCTGAGCATGCTGCGCCATGATGTCAATTACATAGAAACGTAGGAACAGAGCGAGTCAGAAGGGGTCTCCCGGGCCATCTAGTCTGACCCCCTCCTTTGTGCCTCCTTCTAACCTTGCATTCCCCCGGGGGATAGATGTGAGCGAGGTGCCTGCGACATTCCTCTTTTCTGTGGTATCTTGCTGAAGCTCACCTTGCGTTTCCTTCCATCTCCCCTGCCCTCGAGATTCATCCACAGACAATGAAGGTTGAAAGAGTCATGTGCATTCTAGCTCCTCTCTTCCAGGGACCCTCAATTTCACCTGGAACAGCATGAAGGCCGGAAGACGAGGAGGTGCTGCTAACAAAAACATGGCCATCGCAGCTCGCTCCCAGCAGCCCCCACGGATCCTTGTGGTGGACATCCGACCCCCTCACTGGGCCCACACCTCTCACCGGCTCTGTGATGCCCTGGAAAACGTCTTCTCCCTGGCTTGTGGCTTGGCAGGTCCTCCCCGCATCCCCCTGTTCAGCCTCTATGTGGCCCAGAACCAGCAGGAGTGCCTTCTGCCCTTTGTGGTGAGTGCAGAATATGAAGGCGCTCGCTTGTTGACTTGTCTGCACTCCCCACACAAGCCCATTCCAAAGGGCTTTAAATGTCCGCTCTGAAGCAGTTTGTTCTGTTTCTTTATTTTAATTTTCTGGAGGGGTAAAGCATTGGCAATGCAAAGCACAGTACTCCTGGGGGAAGTAGAGATGCTGCTAGAGCATCTGAAAGTGGCTGACTTCCTGTTACTTTACCTATTTTAAAAGCATTGCAAACATCAGTGCAGCTGAGGACAGCTTTTCCCTGGGAGCTCCGATGGGCAAGGGAAAGCCACGCCATTTGGCAGTGGGTCCCGTCAAGCCCCTCCCACTCCTGCTCAGGCCGAAGGTGGAAGGAGCTGGCTGCTGCTGGCAGAGCCGCTGCCTGGCCGTGGGGAGGTCCAGAGGAAGCCCGCGAATGCCAGGCTCGGCCCGTGAGCGCAGGGAGCATCGCAGAAGCCCATGCGCAGGAGCTGGTGGTGCTGCCCATCATTGCAGTGCACACCTGGAGAAGCAGGCGCCCGTGGAAATGCAGCCTTTGCTGCGGTGGTGGCCATGCACCGCCGGATGCAGCAGCTCTTTCCTGAAGAGGGCCAAGCAGGGCTGCTTCCTGGGTCATGATAAGTGGGGGCATCGACTTGGTGGGCTCCCCGCTGCTGCTCTCCGGCCGATCCAAGCTGGAGCTGCACTGTGCCCTCCCCAGCCCACGGACACTGAGGGGGCAGGAAGCATCCTGCCCCACCGCCCCGCCTGCAGCGTCTGGCAAAGAGCAGCCCCCTTCCTCTGCACTGTGGCATTGGGGGCGACCACGGGACCCCCACCTGGGCCCCCCGGCCCGCGTATGAGACCCTTCCCTGGCTGCCCCTACCCACTGAGGTGGCCCTTTTCTGTAAGGAGCAGCCTTTTTCGACTCAGGAATGTCCTTTTAAGGGGCAGTGAGCAGAACTGTACGCAAGTGCAGTCACACCAAAGACTTGTACGAGGGAAGTTCCAACTTGGCAGTTTTATTTTCAACACCGTCAGTTCCTTTCCAAATTACGCCTAATATTGAGCTTGCCATTTTCACAGCCACTGTGCGTTGGGTTGTAACGGAGCTGCCCACCACAACCGCAGGGTTCCTTTCCTGCTCAGCCACTGCCAGCTCAGATCCCAGCAGCCGATACTTGGGCTTTTTGCTCCAACATGCGTTACTTTACACTTGCCTACGAGGAACTGCGTTTGTCGACTTGATCCCCATTCCCAGCTCAGAGGGCTCCCTTAGGCGCTCCTCACAGTTTCTTTTGGTTTTAAGCACCCCAAATAGTCGGGTGTCATCTGCAGACTTGGCCACTCCCCTGCTTACTCCTGATCCCAGATTAATTATGAATAGGTTGAAAAGCATTGGCCCTATTACAGAACCCTCTGGGACCCCGCAATTGGCATCTTCCCGTCAGGAGACGTTACCATTCATCCCCACTCTGTGTCTTCTGCTCTTTAACCATTTACTGATCCAAAAGAGGACATGCCTCTCTACCGTTTTTACAATCCTATTATCATCCTGTTTTTTTAAGGCTTAAAACGGAGCTCTCAGTTTGTTATTTTTGTTATCTCTGTCCATACTATCTTATAAGGTTGCAATATAATGCTTGGTGTAAATTTTATTTGATTTGCTACATAATATCATATTTGGAATACCCAATCCTCTCATTTTTTGTGACTTATACCATCTTTTCTTCCTAATACTTGCTTTCTTATCTCCATTACAAAATATATTAGTCATATTTTGCCAATCTTCCAATTCTTTCCCTAATATCTTAATCAGTAACATCTCAAATAAAAAGTGAATCTTGGGTAAAATTTTCATTTTACAAACTGCTATTCTACCAAACCAAGATAATGCTATTTTTCTAAATTGCTTCATTTTCTCCTTTATTTTGGATTTCAATATTTATATTGAAATTAATAATTTAATAATTTTACATATCTTAATTTGAAATTTATTCTTAATTCTCTCCTTTTCTTCTTAAATCAGCAACATCTCAGATTTATCCCAATTAACCTATATACCCATTATCTCTCCAAATTCCACTAAATGATTTGTAATCTCATCCATAGCTGTAAATGACTCTTTAATTGTTCACAATATATCATCAGCAAATAAGCTAATCTTAATTTTATTCTTAAGTCCAGTACCTTTTATAGTACTGTCATTTCTTTTACTATTTGGAAACAATTCTATAAGCTAAATACTCTGTATGATACAAAATCCCTGTTTGATTAATTAGCCTAATTGTCTTCTTGTGGTCTGATTGCATAAATGATTTCAGGAAGAAATGCAGCTTTGTGTGTACATCATGAACCCAGTGATCAAGCAACCCCTCACGGTCTCATGCAAGCCCAAATTCCAAAATGCAAGGAAGCTGGAAAGCAGGCTTGGCGCCAGCTGGTGTGGGGCGTGCTCTGGGGAGGCCTCCAGCGTGGCCCAGCCACCCCTGGCTGCTTCCGCAGCACCATCAGCATGCTGGGCAGGTGACGGACTATGGCAAGGGGGACCCAGGGAAAGACACAAGGCCCTCGTCCCCTCCCAGCAGCTTGTCAGGCTGAACTTCCACGGAGCAGGAGTAGTAGGAGGCTTTGTGCTTGGGAGGGAGAAGGCACTGCTCCAGCTCCTCCGCCCGGAGGCTCCTGGCCATGGGGTGGGCAAGAGGTCCCCTCCCTGCCCGCTACAGAGGCTTTCCAGCCCAGGCTGCCCAGAGCAGCAGCCCAGGAGGGCCAGCCAGGCTGCGCCATTCCGTTTGTCTCCCCACAGAGCAGCCGCTTGCCTCCACTCCCCCCCTTGCACTCTGATCAGCGGTGCTCCGCAGAGACACTACCCGGAGCGGAGCGTTTTTATGATAGAGAGTCCATAGGCTCTCATCCCATGTTTAAACCCTGTTTTTAAAAATTTGCAATCAATTTGGCAAAAATCAAAATAACAGCTCACCAACTACAATAGAAGAGGAATCTTCCTGTATCAGATAGTTATAATTCCTTCATAAAGAGTGTGCAAGCAAAGTCAATTTCTCAGTGTTAACTCTGAACAAATGGGATTGTTTTTCTTTTAAACTCTAAACCGCTTTTTCTTCCTCATTGTTGCTCCAATCTTCCTCAAATGTTTAGGTGATGTAATTCAACACTTCTTTCTGGCACATGTAAATGTTAGTAGGATTAGTGCCACCATTCCAATTTTATTAAGGCAAGTCTGATCAAACCCTCAATTATCATTTTAAAATAATGGAGCCTGTTTTTTAATGACCCTTTACTAAACGGAGCCCGCCCTCAGTGGTGCGGACAGCACGCTGTCTAGCCCACACCTCCTTCTCTGTGGTGGAAGCCCCCGCCGGCTCGGTCTGCGCACTGTGAACAGCGGCAGCGTGTCGCCTCGTGCAGTTCGGTCTCTGCCCAGGCAGGGCCCCCTCTCAGCCTGGCCCTCGGTGCTGTGGCTGCTTCAGGGAGCTCAGGGACCAGATGCTCGCTGCACAAAGGAGAACAGCTTGAGGGGCCTGCCTGGAGAAGGAGGCCAGGGATTAAGAATTAATCCTGGTTTCAGGCCCCTCCCCATGAGCCAGCTCAGCTCAGGCTTAGAGGCTGGCCTGCTGAACTAATGAAAGTGCTGTCTTTCCAGGGTGCTGTCTTTGTGACAGTCCTCTCTGCAGAGGTTTTCAGGCGCATCTGTTGGGGATGCTCTCATAGGAGATCAGCTGAATGGCTCCCAGCACCCTCAGGACATCTGGATCCTTTCCTTCCTCCAAGCCTGTCTGTGAGTCACCAAGGGCAGGGAAGACCCTGCTTCCTAGTCAAATGGGGGCTTCCCTTAGGCCAAAGTGCCGCTTCCTTCCTCAGGGGATTTCCTGGATGTGCCCCCCACTCCCTTTCCTTGCTTTCTGCACCACCAAGCTGGTGTGGCACTGAGCATGCGGCTGTGCACACGCTAATATCCTTAGCGGAGAAGGAAATTAAGCAGAGCCCGACAGTCACCAAGCCCTTGACTATTTCAGTCCGTGTGAAAAGCAGCCGACATCGCACTCTGTCTCAGCCGGAACTGGGTAACTTTGCCACCTGCAGCACCAGCCACATGATTCTGATGGGCCGTGACCACACTTGGCAGGGCTTGCTTTCCTCCCGTTAACGGCGAGGTTCGACTTGGCAGCATATTGTGCATTAACACTCACTTCCCGTTCAGGCATGCAAAAGGACAGCTTGCTGGACCCACCCGCAGCTCCGTCACTGCTATCCAGTCATCACGCTCCTTGCCAATACGCAGAGCTGCTAAATGGCAGGCCTGTCCAGCATTTGTTTCCACAGCTTGCTAATGGCTTGCAGCTCGAAGCCTCTTACGTATCTTTGTTCCTAGATTCCGTTGAAGCTCCCAATATTGGGAGGAACGCATTTGTTATGTAAAACATTCCTATGCCACCAGTCACTTCAAAATTTGCAGGGCTCTTCACAGTGGCTACTGAAAACATGGAGAGGCGATGCTAACAACAAACAGCACGGCAGAAAGGGAAATGCATTCTGGGAATCATCTGGGAAAATCAAAGCCCGGCACCTGCACAACCGGCTGTGTGGTGGCCAGGTGAGGCTGCCCAGAAAAGAGCACTTTGGAAGAAACGGGCCAGTGCAGCTCTGTCAAAAAGGAGGGGATGCGAGGGGTCTGGATAAACGCACTTCTGATATGTTAATTTATAACTGGGCTCACTGGTGGAAAATATTAAAGATAAAATCATCGAGCCTATAGAAGGACAAATCTTGCTGAAGAAGACTTAGCATGGCTACTGCAAAGCTAAGTCCCTCTGCACAAGAGTCCTTCGAGGGTGGGTGGGAGGGTTATCTGGTAGACATGAGTTATTTGGACATAGAAATGTTCCCTGACACAGACTTGTCAGCAGGCTTAGCAGGGATGCAGTAAGTGGAAGGTCCCCTTGCAGACTGACCCGCCATCTCCAGTGCCAGAATATCAGTTGCTGGGGGACACGGGTGGGAAGGTGCTGCTGTGCTCATGCTTGGGCCACCTGGTTGTCCATTGTTTGAACAGAATACTGGCATAGCAAGGCCTTTTCGTAGTTCAGGCTTCCAGGCTCTTCCTATGTTCTTAAGCCCTTTCTCCTACTCATTGTCCTTTTATGCCCTGTCATTGCTTATCCCATTTTTAGCAGCATGGCTGCTAATCTGTGGCCTCTCCGAAGCCTGTCCCACCCCAAAACTGTCTCCCCTCATCTTAGAATCATAGAATTCTTAGAAAAGTTGGAAGGGGCCAGGAAGGCTCCCGATTGAAGTCCAGGCCCAATTCAAGGTGTCGGTTATGACCTATAAAGCCCTAAACGGCTTGGGACCTGGATATCTAAAGGAACCCTTGTGCCCATATATGCCCTCCCACCCCTTGAGATCAGCAACGGATGCCCTTCTCTGGGAACCCTCTGTGAATGATATTAGGAGGGTGAGTACCCGGAGGAGGGCTTTCTCTGCGGTGGCGCCCCATCTATGGAATGCGCTCCCCAGAGAAGTCTGCCTGGTGCCGTCATTATTTGTTTTTTGGTGCCAGGCTAAGACCTTTTTATTTAAAACTTATTTTAATTGCTAAATTATTGTATTTATTAGGATTTTAAAATTAGCTGAAAATGCACCAGGGGTTTTAATTTTTTTTTCTTTTAAATTGTTATATTGTTATTGTTTATGTATGTTTTTTTGTATTTTTTGTAAGCTGCCTCGAGGCTTTGTTGCGATGGGGGCGGCATAGAAATGTTTTAAATAAACAAACTCCCTCCTGCTACAGGACACCAATTTACACTATCCCACTCGGAGGGCTGTCCAGCTTCTTTAATGTCTCCAGTGTGGGAGAGCCCAGCGCCTCTGCAGGCAGCTGGTTCCACTTTTGTATTACTCCGGCAGTGAGGAAACTTTTCCTGAGATCTAGCCTGAATCTGGGGTACCACAGCTTGACTTGATGATTCCGTGTCCTGCACTCTGGCATCAGCAAGACGAGATCTTGACCCTCTGAGGTGCTTATAGAGGGATATCACATCCCCCTCCATCTTCTCTTCTCAGGGCTGAACATGCCCAGTTCTCTGTATCTCCTCACAGGCCAGCGTTTCCAAACCCTGGATCATTTTTGTTGCCCTCCTCTGGGCACTTTCTAATTTTTCTGCATCTTTCTTAAATCTCAGTACCCAGAACTGGACAAAGTATTCCAGATGACTAGATTTGACTAGTGAGGGGTATAGGGGAACTACTACTTCTTGTGGTTTGGAAGTAATACTTCTGTTAATGTATCCCAAAATAGCATTTGCCCTTTTGATGGCTGCATCACATTGTTGGCTCATACTTAGCCCATTGTGCACAATTACTCCAAGATCTTTTTCTTTTTTCAGTTCTGCTGCACCACGTATTCCCCATCTTTTATCAATGCCTTTGGTTTCTTTTTCTTGGGTGGAGGACTTGGCACTTGTCCCTATTGAATCTCATTCTGTTGCTTTCAGCCCAGTGTCCAAGTTTATCAAGATCGCCCTGGATCTTCATTCTGTCTTCTAGGGTGTTTGCTATTCCACCCAGTTTTGTACCATCTGCAAATTAGATTCTCTTTCCTTGTACTTCCTCATCTAAGTCTTTAATAAAGGTGTTGGAGAGCTCTGGGCCCAGGACTGAGCCCTGCGGCACCCCACTAGTTACCTCCATCCAGTTTGAGAAGGTGCCATTGATTAGCCCTCTTTGTGACCAATTTACCAAGTGATTTTGGATCCACCTAATAGTTGTCTATCTAGTCCAGCTTTTACTGATTTGCTTATCAGAATGCCATGTGGCACTGTGCTGAAATTCTTGCTAAAGTCCAGGTAGATTATGTCCACAGGTTTCCCTCTGTCCATTTGGGAGATTACTGAGTCAAAAAATGAGATTAAATTCTTCTGACAGGATTTATTTTGATAATTCCATGTTGGCTGCTCTTAATCACAGCATTTTCTTCAAGACAGTTGCAGATGGATTTTGTAATAATTTGCTCCAGAATTTTTCCAGGGATTTCTGTCAGACTAACTGGTCTGTTTTTCCCAGTTTCATCTTTTTTCCCCTTTTTGAAGATGGGGCAACATTAGCCTTTCTCCAGTATTTTGTTGGGATGCATGTGAAAATCAGTCAAAGCACAATTGATGGGGAAATGTGATGCCCCACACATTTCTAACTGTGTTTATTTATTGCTTCCACCGTCTTCTTTCAAGTGGCATGGCAGAGCTTTGTGCTGCGGTTGGTTCCCTGCACTATATGCTGACCAGACCATTTCCTGGTCCTTCGTACTCTCAGTGTGTACCTCTTGCTGCCCAGCCATACAGCTGATAGGGCCCCAAACAAATCCCCTGAATTCTGAACCTGGCCACAGTATTCTGGAATTGGAGGTAGGCGGTCTGGTTTCCTGTTTATTTTATTTTATTTATTTTTCGATTTATATCCTGCCTTTTTCCTACAAAGGACTCAAGGCAGCTTACATCATTCTTCTCCTCCATCTTATCCCCACAACAACAACCCTGTGAGGTAGGTTGGGTTGAGAGTCTGTGACTGGCCCAAAGTCACCCAGTTGGCTCCATGGCTGAGCGGGGACTCGAACCCAGATCATCCCATGCTCTTAACCACTCCACCACACTGCCTCTCATCTTCCACAGTGGAGGTCGCCACTCCATGTTTTCCATGGGTTGTGCAGTTCCTGGTGTAGTGCTGTGACTTGTACCGAGTCCAGGCTGAAAGACAGACCAGCCCCATGCCCATAGCTCCAAAGGTGGCTCCAGGTGGAGGGCGCTACCCGACCCAGGAAAAGCCTCCGTGAAACTCTTCCATCCCCTCTCCTGTAGTGGATCTTCTGAGATGGGGAATTGGTGGGGAAACTACCTGCAAAACCTGGTGGGTCACCGGTGGAAGATGTCCCCATCGTGCAATTTCTTAAGGAGGCAAGAAGATGGTGCGAGAAAAGCCTCACCTGGGAGCCCCCCGCCCCCACACCTCCCTTCTCATTCCTGCCTCCGTCCCGGGCATGGGGCGGGGCACTGAGTGGGCCTTGGGTCCCCTCTTCTGTCTCCGCAGCCCGTGCGGGGATGCTTTTCTCGGCTCCAGCGCTGCATCGCAGAGCTGCGCAGCTTCGCGGCGGAAGGAGCGTCCCGGGCTGGTCAAGACGTGCTCAGCCGGGCAGTGCAGGACGGGCTGCAGCAGTTCAAGCAATACACCGGGCAGGGCTTGGCAGGTGCCTCACGGTGCGGCTCTTCTGTGGAGGTAAGCTGGGCACGAAGCGTCATGTGTGGGTGCAAGCCGTGGGGAGGGGAGGGCCTCCCTACAATTTGCTGCCCAGCCCGTACCTGCAGAGGCTGCCTCAAGCACCAAGAGCAGGACACCGTGGACTTCACGGCCCCTTGCTTCCATGCCAGTGCCGCAGGGCTCATGCGCAGGCGCTGGGGCTGCGGGGCTTCCCTTGGTTCATCATGCAGGGAGAACCGCTGGCAGTGTCCAGACTCCACAGGCCCGTCTCCCCTGGCCTGCCCACTCTGTCAAACCCAAAGCTGTCATGGCTTAGGGAATGCCACTAATGTGCGGAGAAGAAGCACGTTGGGTCATAGAAACAGAGTGAGTCAGAAGGGATCTCCTGGGCCATCTAGTCTGACCCCTGACTTCAGCCATCACCACTCATGACATGCTTGCCATGTGCATGTCCAGCCTATCCTTAAACACCTTCACCACTGGGGCTTCAACCACCCCCCGTGGAAGCCCATTCCTTACCTAGGGGCCCTAACCATGAGGAAGTACTTCCTGGCATCCACCCTAAATCTCGGTCCCCTGAGCTTTGCTCCACTGGAGCATGTCCTGCCCTCCACTGCAGGGGGAAAAAGGTCATGCCCCACCTCTGCGTGGCACCTCCTCACGTACCTGTGTGTTGCGAACAGGTCCCCTCTGAGCCTCCTCCTCTCAAGGCTGAAAGGACCCAGCTCCCTCAGTCTCTTCCCATATGGCTTTCCCTGCAATCTGGCCACCATCCTTGGGGCCTTCGCTGCACTGACTCCAACCTTGCTATATCCCTCTTGTAATGTTGGGCCCAGAACTGAACACAGCACTCCAGTTGCGGGCGCACCGGAGTCGCACAGAGTGGCAGTAACTCCTCTCTCGATGTGGAAGCCACGCTTCTGACTATGCCCACACAACACCCAGTGCGTTGGGTCTCTGGACTCAAGCCTCAGGGACGCAGCCCTCTGGGACAGGCACTCTGGGAATGGGCTCAGAATAGCTTCCCCCAGTTCTGCCTTTTCTTCTGAGGGGTGTTACTTGGAGTGCTGTTACTGGCTTCATTTCTGCACTGCCCATGGCCAGAGCTCTCTGGGCAGTTTGCAGCAGAGAGGAACCGGCGACACTGGTGGGAGCACTGGGTGTCACTAGCTTTTCGTCCGTTCCTGCGAGGAGCTCCCTGCCTCTTTCCGCACCCGCTTTATGCGCTTGACATCCTTGTGAGGCACGTCTGGCTGACCATGGGACCCCTTTTTCAGGATGGTCACAGATCTTCCTTTGAGAGGAGGCTGAGCCAAAGTGGAGGCTGAGCAGTGCTGCCTTTTCTGTCACTGGTTCTCTTTTTCTGAACCACCCTGAGCAGATGGACCCTTTGCTTTTCCAAGGTTTCATCCTCGTGTTCTCCATGGCTGGGCGGTTGGTACGAGATGCCAACAACGGGGTCCCTTTTATCCCTTGTTCCATGTGCATTAACCCAGATGCTCTTGATGGGGCCCCTGAGCAGCTCCTCCTGCACTTCTCCGCAGTATATGTGAATGGCAGCCAGCCTGTCTTTCTCCCGCAGAGGTGCTGTAATGTGGCTTTGCTTTCAGATCACGGTCCTGACTAGCCAGCTCGGCACAGAAGTAGCCAAATGGTTGGAGGCAGGGCTGCGAGGGGCCAACCTGGCCTGCCTCCAGCAACTGCAGGTGCTGGCCCTCTCCAGAGGGGGCGCCCAGGAGCCCTCGGAAGGTGAATGGGCCCACCCGGCCGGGCAGGGGCCCAATGGCAGCGGTGAGTGCAGCGGCCCGGTGGCTCGCAGCGGGACGCGGCTGCCTCTGCGCTGGGCCCAGGGCGGGTGGGCGTGGGTTGTCCACAATCAGTGGGCACACAAGAGAGTGCTGGCGTTCCAGATGTCACCTAGCAGAGCACGAGATTATCCGGCCGATGACCCATCCCTGGACCAGCGCCTTCCCGGAGGTCTGGCCTAACGTTCCCCTCATGGCGAGGGGTCGCTGGAACGTGTGCTGCCCCCCGTGGACCCGGGACCCCGCGTCTCTTTCCGCTCCAGCCACGAGGCACTGCAGGGCAGCCGGTGTGGCTTGGGAGCACGGCACTGGGCGGGGGTGCGGGGCCGAGGGGCGCTGCCCTCCCTGGCTGCCCCTGCTGTGAGGACTTCCCTGGCTGAAGGCGCTCCCTCCACCCAGTCCTCGGAGAGCGGATTTCAGCCGCGCTCGTTTCGCTTCCTGTTGTCGCTCTGGCTGCAGCAGCTGCTCATCCCAACCCACCTTCTCGAGGCACAGCGGCCCACCACCCACCAACGCTTCACTGGTCCCCGAACTCGGGGGAGGGTCTAATGATGCGCCTGCGGTGGACTGACGGAAAGCGATGCTTCGTGGCGTTGCACAAGCCCACTTATCGTGACTTGTGTGCAAGATGTACAGCCTGGCCCGAGTGCTCGCCCTCCCCTGCCTGGGGTGGCGCAGCCCTCCACTGCCACCTCCCGGGCAGAGTCACCATGTGCAGGCACTCTGAGTGGCCCCCTCTGCCTGGACGCAGGGCTACCTCCGGGCTGCCTGGCCCGGGACAGCAGGCAGCCTCTCCTCCCTTGTAATCTGGAGCCACGCTCTCCCGAGGGGCTGGCCCCTCCTGCTGCCCCCCCTCCATTCTGTGACTGGTGCCCTTGTTTCTAACCAGCAGCTGGTGAAGCTTCCCTTCGCTGCGCTTAAGGGTGTGCGATTCAGAGGGTTAATTTCTGAGAGGGTTAGGACTGGCTTTTTGCAGATGGCTGGATCCACCAGGGGAGAAATTCGAGGTGCTGGAAAAATGCCCACTCTCTCAGCGCATGATCTGCCAGGGAAAGCTCAGGCTGTTTAAGGGGTGGAAAGAGCCGGCTCAGTGCATCAGGGCTCTTTCCTGGACCAGGAGGTCTCTCGTGGGATCCGCTTTTGTGAGCATGGCCAGCACTTCCCAGGTGGAGTGAGCCAGCCTGTCACCCACCCACGTGCTCACAGGACACAGCGTCCATGAGACACAACCCTGCTTGGCATCCTGTGAAAGGCACGGGGTATGTTCAGATTTGGGGGTACCCCCCAAATGAGGATTCTTGAGGCAAGTGCAGGAAATGACACATCATTACTTGGAGGCTGGACACCAGGCGGCCTGGGAAGCTCTCTAGATGAACGTGGGGAGCTTATACCCTCCCTCTTGAGGCTCCAGGGACTCGCTCTGAGTCTGAGAGCTGAGCAGCAGGACCACCCAGCAAGCATCTAGCCCCAGCCTTCAAAGGGTCTTTCACTGCTGTTGGGCTGCCGTCACGGCAGGACCCTGCCAGGATGTCCCAGCTGTGGGCGTGTGGAGGCTGCCTGACTTAACTTTCTCCTTGCCTTGCAGGAGGCACTGCGATCCTGGGCACAGGCATTGACCTCCAGGCTGTGGAGGATGACACGGTGGCCCTGGAGATGTTCTTCAAGACCTGGCTCCATGATCATGACACCAGTCAAGAGCACCTCCATCTCCTCCTGCCCTCTGGAGCCCTCGGTCAATCTGCTGTGCCCCGAGCCAGCCAGGGTAACTTGCCTTCCCTGCTGCTGCCAGCCACTGCCCTCCTGAACCCATGGCAGTCACACCTGCAGCCCCGACTGAGGGAAGCTCTGTTCCCTGGAGCCGTGCCTGCTGGAGAAGGGCACTCGGTCTGTCACCGTCACCATGCAGGCCCCTGGCACTGGCAGCCTTTGCACACGATGTGTGCCAAAAAGGCCCCCGCAGGGGCACGCACTCATCTCGCCAAACCTCTGCACCTCCAGGGGGTCCTCTGCCCTTGAAGCACCCTCTTGGTGGCGTCCTGACCATGTGCCTGGCTGGTTTTTCCCAGCTGCTGCCAGGTGTTTTGGAATGCCATTCAGGTAGGTGGAGGAAGGCTCTGCTGCTTGGGATGGATCCCTGAGTAGGGCTGGCAGGAATGCTACTTAAGCAGGCTGTCAGTGCCAGCGAGTCAGGATCCCAAGTGCGTGAACCTGAGCGGCCAGCAAAATTCACAGGGTGAGACAAGCTTGCCAGGGAACCCAGACCCGAGGCATGAATGGACCCCTGCTGGCAGACATCAGGGTCAGGAGTTCGGCAGGCAGGTGAGGAGCGGCAGGGCAGGCAGCCAGGGCAGCTCGCCACCCCCTTCCTGCCTGTCTGGCTTGTTGAGTTTTCCAGGTAAACGCATTCTATAAGGAAACGCAGCCAAGAATGGGTCAGGGGAGCAGAGGCTGTCGACACCGATGTGAGGTGGTGGGTGGGTTGTGCAAGTGCACAGACGACACGCAGCGAACGTCAGTTACAGGTAAGCAACTGAGCCATCCTCTTTGTGGCCTCCGCATTCCACATGTGGGCAACTGGTGAGCTTCCCTCAAAGCAGAGGCATGCGGTGTCGTCAGCAAAGGCAGCCAAGAGGAGCACCCTTGCCTGGTGCTGGCATCGCGCTGGTAGTGCTGGACGGAAGCCGGAGGAGTGGACCATGCCACTGGTCCGCAAAGGCCCTACAGGGTGCCAGCGTGCAGCGCTGTAGATGCTGCCAGCGCCCTAGACGAATGTGTCCCTGGTCCAGCTAGCTGGTGAGCCATTTTAATGGTCTCCATGATCCAGGGAGCGAGTTGCTGGGTACTGATGGGCTCAGCTTTGGACTGTTCACTGTAAGAAGCAAGTCTCTGGAACTGGCGGGAGGCTTCAGCGCAGGACCAATGGAACGCCAGCACCAGTGGAACCAGAGAGTAACCTTTGGAATGACTGTGCAGCAGGCTGCATAGCTGCCTTGTCCTTGTGGAAAAGAAGGAACAGCGGATCGATGCACCAAGTGTGAAGTTCGCTTACTGGCCTGGCCGAAGAGATCGCCCTCAGAGAAGCAGCCTTCCACGAGAGAAGGCACAGGCCCGGAGTGGCCAAAGGTTCAAAGGGAAGCTCTGCAAGATCCTGTTAAACCCACCAACGGGCTCCCTCCTGGCACGAAGGACTGGATGGGCAGGTCAGGCTGTGCAGACCTCTAAGGAACCAACGGGACAGAGGGGGCAAAGGACTGAGAAATGGTTGACCGTCCCAAGAAGAGATCGTGCCATATTGCCTCTGATGGAGGACCGTTTGAGGCCTCTGGGGATATGTGGGGTGGATGCCTGATAAAGATATAGGCTTCCGCCTGGGCGAAAGCCACAAGGACACTCTGTTTGGCCATGCACGAGCGCCTGATCTTTGCCTGCTGGGCCACGTCCAGGATTGCCTGTGTTTTGGGAGGGAGATGGTCCTCCTGATCTAGCAGCCAATCCTCCACACTGTCGAACAGAGAGGCTCTACTTCTGGATGAAGAATCATCCCCCAATTCTGGGAAATGATGTCCAGTCTTCTTGGAAGGCGGATGAAATTGTGGTCGGACAGACAGAGGAGGTGGGCAAACCACACCTGCTGGGGCCACCATGGAGTCATGAGGCTGCAGGAGGTGCCCTCTCTCCAGACCATGGCAGGCACCATCGGGATCAGTGGGAGTGGTGAAAGCAGGTAGAACAGGCTCTCCTTCCAGTGGAGAAGGAACACGTTCCCCATCAAACCAGCCCAAGAGCAGAAGGCTTTGCATACTGCATTGAGTGGTAAGGCGAAGAGGTTCATAGACAGGGTTCCCTAGGCCTTGAGTTGCCGCTTCAGAATGTCCAGATGCAGCTCCCAGTCATGGGTCCTCTCAGGCCCCCTGCTCAGCGTGTCTACTTTAACATCATCCGTTCCGGCTACATGGGTGGCCATGATGCTAATGTCCCATTCCAGGCACCATTCCTAGATCTGTAGTGAGACGGGTCGGGGATGCCGCTGGGGCTGCCTTGTTTGTTCTGGTAAAACACCGCTCCAGCTTTATCCAGGGCAACCTGAGCATGTTTGCCTCTAAGGAGTAGCTGGAAAGTGACGGGTGCTCTTTGTACCATGAGGAACTTGAGGTAATTGACAGGTTGCAGGCGAACCCAATCAGTCCACAATCCTGGAGTCTTGCAGCTGGCACAGTGCGCCCCGTCCCAGATGCAACACGTCTGCTCAGGGTTCGGCCTGGTTCCTTGGACATGAAGGCAATCATGTCTTCCAGGTTATGTTGGCAGGTCCACCACAAGGGGCTCGCCCAAGCAGAGCATGGGAGCCCCAACTGCTTCCTGACTGAATCACGCTGGGGCTGGTCAATGTGTGCAAACCAAAGCTGCAGTGGCTGCATCCATGGCCTGGTAAACCTGGACAACTGTGACCGTCACTGCCGTAAGTCCCAGGAGCCAGTGTACACACTGCGCCATAGTCCTGGGCTTGACCTGCAGAGCCGAACTGACTGGCACCACCACACCTCTGCCGTCACGGAGTCTAGCCTGACTCCAATGTAAAGGTTCAATTCCAAGGGAAGAAGCACAGATTTCTCAGTGTTAATGCACACAGTTCCAGTCTCTCCAAAAGATTGCATGTATCCTGGATGGAGTCCAATAGATCTTCCTGGGATGGAGCAGCCAGCATCCAGTCCAACCTGGATCCCCTGCAACCAGAGGTGGGTGCACACCATGACCATGCATTTGGTGAAGAACTGGGGTGTGTGGAAAGACCAAACAAGAGCACAGAAAACTCAAAAGCATCAGGCCCAGTTTGGAACCAGAGAAAATGCTGACAGCCCTGGCGAAAGGACTCATGGAAACATCCATCCCTCAGATCAACCGAGACAAGCCAGTCCCTTTGGCGCAGCAGCAGCAGCAACAGCAGGTTTTGTAGCAAGACAATGTGGAACTTCTTGTGGGGAGTGAAAAAGTTCATGTCTCACCAATCTAAGACAGCGGGCTGCTGTTCTTCTTTGGAACAATGAAGTGCCACGAGTAGAACCCACAGCAGAGATCGGAAGGAGGGGCAGGTGGAATGGCTCCCTTTGGCAGTAGCATAGCGACCGCCTCTGCCAGCAGAGAATGGTGCCCTGTCCCGAGAGGTGGAAGGGTGTCAAATTCGACTTGTTACCTGCTCTCCACAGCGGAGAAAACACACAGATCTGATGTTACGGCTTCCCATGCGGGAAAGTAGATGGTAAGGCAGCCTTCACACCATATTTGTGCCACGGGAGCGGGGCTGGCTCACTGCAGCAGTCAGTGGTGCTGCCTCTTGGTTTCCAGCTCCTTTTGGGGATGCTGTGACTGAGAGGAGGCGTCCCTTTGGCATGGCTGCGCAGGCTGCGGTCGGCGTGCAGGCTGGTGCTGTTGGCTCCAAGACTGGAATGCGGATGGGCCCAAGGCCACTTGCGTGCTCTCGACGGCTGTGAGAGCCCACGGCCCACCCGCACCGCAGCCCTGGCGTCCTGGACTCTGTTCGGCTTCTCTTCTCTCCAGGCACTGAAGAGGCCCTTGACTGCCTTTCAAAACAAGGGGGGAAACTGCTTGCCTCCGAGTGGCCATCAAACAGGTGATGCCCTTTGGCATCGCCCTTCAGTGGCCACCCATGGTCCCTGCCCCTGCGGTTGGGCAACTACAATAGCAGCCCAGCCAGGTTGTCCCTGCCCCTTCCACCTCCCAGCACACCACCCCATCAGGTGGCCAAGGTGGCCACATGTGTGCTGGCCAGTTGAGCTCCCTCAGCCCCTGGCAGCAGCTGGGCAGGGAGGGGAGGAGGGCAATGGTGGCGGTACCCGTGTTCTCGGGGGTTCTAGGGAGGCTCAGAGGGCAGCATTCCACAGCGGAGGGGTGGCTGATGGAAGTAGGTGCCACTGGGTGAGAGAGAAGAGAGGCGGAGAACGTTTCTAAAAAACTGAAAAAGAGAGGATGATAGTTGTTTTTTTGTTCTTGGAAAAAGCTGGGTTTGAAAAAATGATTGAAAAGAGTGCAAATAGAATAGGAAATACAGACTGCAAGATGGATAGAAGGTTCTGAGAGTACAGGAGAGAAAGCCCTGAGGCACCCAGGACTTCAGCTGTCAGCAGGTCCAGCCGGTGTGGCCAACAGGAAGGAATGCCAGGAGCTTCAGTCCAAAACCCAGGAGGGGACCTGCTGGCGAAGGCTGTATTAAAGACACAGGCAGCCCGATTTGTGGCAGGTACGCAGGGCTCCCTGGGAAACGGCCTGCCTGGTGCAAAGGCTGCAGATACAATGCATCTGAGGCAACCTGGTCATGGGGTGGGTTTAGCCACTGTGGTGCGTGTTGGAACCAGTGTCTGGGGGACATGCAGTCACGACATCCTGGAAATTTCAGTTGCTAGGCAAAGGTTGAAAACCAGACTATCAAGATGGCTTTCTCTGAAGAGCCACCTGTTCCACACGCCGGGTCAGCAAGCCGGTGCAGCTGAGGGGTCCCAATGTGTGAAGGAGACGGTGCTGTAGAGAGGAGGGGTTCGGGTTTGTCAGACTCTGGGGAACATTTTGAGGCAAGCCAGGCCTGCACAAGTGGGAGGGGCTGCACTCAATTCAGAATAGGATTAGACCGCTAGTCGGTCATTGCCATGTGCCCTCGAGTCACCTGCAACGTACAGCAATGCTAAAGCCCCACTCAGCCCTCCAAAAAAGATGGGGAAGCAGGTTCCATTTGAACTCTGCTTGAGGGAAGCGAGGAGGAGCTGGGACACATTTGGCCCAGGAAGAGCCATGCTGGATCAGACGCTGGCCTGCCAGGTCCCGCACTCCACACACGCAGCAGCAACCCAGCTGCCCAAAGCAGCCCTTTTGCAGGATGGGGGTGAGACCTCCTGCCCAAGCGCTTCAGCAGCTGCTCTCTGAATCACCCGGAGTGAAGGTGTTTTCCATTGCCTGGAAGCTGTGCCCAGCCTGGTGCAACAGGAGTTGGCTCGATCCACGTCAGACCGCTGGCCTCTCTCCAGGCCAGGGCCGTGCACTGGTGCCTCTCTCATCATGCCCTGAATTCCCTTCCGTGCAGGTGCTGAGGCTACCTGTGGCTGGGTCCTGGTGGTCCCCGCCGATGCCAACAACCTTGCTGGGGCATGGGTCCTCCCAGTGGTAAGGCACTGTTAGAGGAGACCACGGGGATGAGGAGGATCGCACACCTGTGTGTGTCCCCACGTGGTAGCAGGCAATGCTCACGGACCAGCAGTCCATGCCACCTATCCCTGTCTGGACTGCCAGGGCTCCGACACCCAGTCTTCTTCCCCCGACAGTGTGTGTGAAATGCGACGTCCAGGAAAGGCTCCTCAGCCCCACTCTGCTTCCTGCGGACTGCGGTGGGACAGCAAGCGTGGACAATGCCACCAGTCCCTTCTGGGCAGCAAGGAGCCACGGGCAGACACCTCCAAAGCTCCGAGTGCTCAGGTACCTGGCTGAGCATGAGCAGGGCCTTGAGGCATTCATAGAATCATGGAACAGTGGAGTTGGAAGGGGCCAAGGCGGCCATCCGCTCCAACCCTCTGCTATTGCAGGACACCAATTTACAGCACCCACTCAGATGTCCAGTTCTGGGTACCAAGATTTAAGAAAGATGCAGAAAAATTAGAAAGGGTCCAGAGGAGGGCAACAAAAATGATCTGAGGTTTGGAAACACTTCCCTGTGAGGAGAGACAGAGAACTGGGCATGTTCAGCCTTGAGAAGAGAAGATGGAGGGGGATGTGATATCCCTCTACAAGCACTTCAGAGGGTGCTTATAGAGGAAGGTCAAGATCTCTTCTTGCTGATGCCCGAGTGCAGGACACAGTATAATCAATTCAAGCTGCAACAACCCAAATTCAGGCCGGATCTCGGGAAAAGCTTCCTCACTGTCAGAGCAAAGGGGCAGTGGGACCAGCTGCCTAGAGAGGTGGTGGGCTCTCCCACACTGGAGACATTCAAGGTGAAACTGGGCAGCCCTTGGAGTGGGATAGTCCTGTCACAGCAGCAGGGTGGACCCAATGGCCTTCATGGCCCCTTCCATCTCTGCTATTCTCTGATTCTGTTTTGTACCTTTCCCGTGTCCTTTCCGGTGTCCCCCATTCCTTCCCTTTCTTCATTTCAGGTAAGAAAAAACTAGTGGCAAAACCCGACCGGTCGTGCCCTGCAGCCCTGGCAGCGTGCTTAGCCCTTCTGGGTCAGCAGTCACAGCAGCCTTCACTGGCGCCCTATGCAAGCCATATTGTAGCCCCCCTGCACCCCACAGGGGCTGAGGAGCCACCCAAAGCTTATGGGAGTTGCCACTACAGGGCACTGAAGACTGAAGGATTGTGTGAATCGGTGCTTTTCGGGCTCCCACTGGTCATCAAGCCCACAAGCTGCTGGCAGATGAACTGGGATGAACTGGAGGCCAACCAGCACACTTTCCAAGCGCTTTGCCACTGCCTGAGGGTGAGTGTGGGGCCTGCGAGGGACGAGGCTCCCCAAGGGGGCTGTGTCTACACACGGCAGCACCGAGCAAGCTGCACCCAAGACCAGGCCGTTCCTTGGGCCGGGCCAGCCCACCTCGTGCCTGTAGACACCCCTCCCCGTGGGCATACTAGCCCAGCCCTGTGAGGAAGCCCGGTATTGAGCCCGTCTGTCTTTCCAGAGGACTTGGTACCCTCTAGCAGGACAACCCCACCCTGCCCTCATCCTGGTGCACTACAAGGGGCTCCAGGAAGGGCTTCCCCATGCCAGGGAGACCGGGGGCGGGGGTGGGCAGGCACTCCACAGACCCGGGTCACTGAATCTTGGCTTCCTTCCTCAGGAGCGGGAATGGCTGCTCCTGGCCAGGTATGAGCTCCGAGGGGAGACTGGTGGGGCCGGCGCAGCAGCCAGCTATCAGGTCCTCCTGCCCTCGGGCTCCTCGCTGCTGCTGCGCCCCGTGGCCACCCGAGAGCTCCTGCTGCCCTGCTCCTTTCCTCTCCTTCCTGTCAACGCTCCCGACACTGCACTCTGCACAATGGAGGCAAGTACCAGGGACCCCGAATTCTGCCCCAAATTCCCATCACACCTGGGCAGCATAGCCAAGGGCAAATAATGGGGCAAGCACCCTCAGGAGGAGCACAAGCCACCCCCCCCCCCCGGGTTACAAGGACGCACTGCCCATCAGGAGATTGTGTAGCACAAGGACAGGGCTGGGCCTTGAGTCACAGGCGCACACAAGGCCCCAGGAGCGCTGAACCCGGATCGCACCCAGTGCGGGACATGGCCACGTGCCCCAGCTCTCCCCCTCCATTTCTTCTCTCTTAAAGCCTCCCAGGCTGGTGGCCATCACAGGACCTTGCTCAAGTCCTCCTGCCTTAACTTCCTGCTGTGCAGCTGTGCTGCCTTCAGTCTGCCCTGAACTACCCACCTGCTGTTAGGACCCTTCACTCCTCCCTGCATGTCCCAGAAGGGCCGTTTTCCTAAACAAGAATGCAGCCCCACGGGGCGTGCAGCCAGCCCTTATCCCTGGGGGCTGCCCTTCCCCTAGAAAGCAGATTACAATCAAGGCCTGCATTCTTGCAGAGCCCAAAGCTTGTGGGTGATGTGATGAGACGAAACAGATGGCGGTGCGAGGGACAAAATAACACCCCCCCCCCCAATCTCTAGAGCATCCTGGACAGCCTGGTAGTGGAACCTGCCTACAACCCCTTGAGTGTGACCACACACCTGTACGGGGTGCTGAGGAGCAGCTCAGGCCAACCGCCTGCGCCCCGGCTTCAGCGACCGGCAGAATGGCCCTTGCCACGCCAGGTGCAGCACACCCAGCCACCCCGGAACAGAGCGGGGAGAGGACCCGGGCGGGGGGTGGGGGGGCCTCTGCGCTGGAAGCCTGCTCTGGGCGGTGTCCTGCTCTGGGATGGGGAGTACTTGCCGCACCCCCCCACCGGGATGCCAGAGCAGAGGCGCCTGGGGAGTCGGGCAAGCCGGCGCTCTCGGAGGGTCACCGGCTCCCTCTGCCCACAGCAAGCCAGCCGACCGCACCCGAGCAAGGCCAGGGCGACTGTGGCTCCGCTCCGCATGGCTCTTCCTGCTGCCGGCCTCGCGTCCTCGCTCCCCTCGGATGAAGAGGAGGAGTTCCTCGCCTCCACGTAGCAGCCACCCTCAGCCCTCCAGCGCATGTCACGGTTCGGGGCGCCCTCCTGCTGAAAGTCAGGCTCCCTTGCTTCCCCCAGAATGCCACCCCCACCAGAGCGTCATTGCAGGGTCCGAGTTCGTGCTGCAGCCCCCCCCCCCCCCCCCGGGGCCCAAGAAGGAAGAACAGGCACCATGTGGCTGCAGGAGGAAGAGGGGGCGGCTGCTGGAAGCCTCCCTGCCCCTGCTCTAGCCTGGGGGCGCTGGGTTATGTCACCGTCCAGCTTCCTCTTCTCAGCCAGAGGCCTCTTCCGGCCTGCACTTCAGTAACCCTCCCGGCAGCTCCAGGCACAACTGAGGCTGTGTTCGGAGCCTCCTGCTCCAGGCGCTTCGGCACCCTCCCCCCCCCGCCCCCGCCAGGGCCCTTCCCCACTTCCTGCTGCGCTCGGCTCTGCTCAGCTCAGCTGGCTCCTGAAGGGGAAGCTGCTCTGGTGGGGCCTCCTGCAGCAGCCCACTGGGAGAGGGGCAGCAGCCCCACTGCAGGTGCCCACACCTTGATCTGCACCCCTCCAGCCCACACCTGGAGCTCAGGTGCTGGAGGCAGGTGCCCAAGGCGGGCCAGCCGTGCTTGGAAGGAAGCCACTCAGCTCGCAGGGATTGAGAGTGTTTCCCAACAGCCTGGGCTGCCCCCCACGGCCCCCGAGGACGACTGGAAACCCACTGCCCACACCCTGGAGGGGGAGGCCTGCTGCCAGTCGGCGTCAGCAGTGCCTGGCTAGACATACAAGGGGAAGCGGGCCAGCTAGCTCCCTCAGCTTCGCTGTCCTCCCTCCCCCCCAGGCCTCGGAAACCCCACAGTGGAGGAGAGGCGCCCGCCCACACCTGTCCCAGGCCCGGCCTGCATGGGCTTCGGCATGCCCTGGGTGCTGCAGGCCAGAGGCAGCAGGATGCCCCCCCCCCCACCCCCGGCAGGCAGTGCACGCAGCTCCAAGAAAGGCTTTAATACCAAAATAAACTTCTCCAGAAAGATGCGTTGCGAGCATGTCTGGCTGCCTGCAGGAGGGCCCAGCCAAGGCTCTGGCTGTGCATGACTGCGGGGGGAAGCGGAGCACCGGCCACCAACCGCGTGCCTCAGGGCCCCGGGGACCCCAAAATGCCCCCGGCCCAGGAAGCCAGCAATGGGGAGGGTCCAGCTCAGGCGGCCTCAAATCTCGCCCAGGTCCTCGTACACAGAGGCCGGCCGGCTCCCATCCACCGACTGCTCCGGCCCGGGGTGGCCGGCCCGGCCTGGTGGCAGCCTCAGCACACGGCTGTACAGGGGCTCCTCAGTCCCATGCTCCCCCGCCAGCAGCTCGCGGGAGGCGTTGCTGTTGTTGTTGCTGCTGTTGCCGGAGCCTCCCAGGAGCCCATTCCTCTCCGGTGCCGATGGAGCGCGCGGCGCGCCGTTGCTGCCTGGCTGGGGGGACTTCCGGCGGGCCCGGGGCAGCTTTGGGGCAGGGCAGGGCTTGGGAGCCTTGGGCCCCGCTTTCTGGTGGAAGGCTGGAACTGCATAATCCCCAGCGCCAGGGAGGAAAGGCAGTTCGTAGCCCGCCTGGCTTTCCCTAGCCTGGGTCCGCCAGGCCTCGCAAGGGAGGCAGGCCTCGTCGTAGATGGCGGCCGGGGCCGAGGCCGGGGCAGGCAGCAGGGCCCGGCCTTCCGGCTCATCGTAGATGTGGACTTTGCCACTCGAGAGGCCCTGGTGGCTGCTGGGCCCCGGCCCCACCTGCTCGTACAGCACCTTCGTGGCCTGGGGCCACGACTCCTGCCCCACGCCACCCTCACGCCTGGTGTCCACAGGGTCGGCGTAGAGTGTGTCCGGTCTTGGCCGGGACCCCTTGACCGCGTCCAGGGGCTCTGCGTAGACGTTGGCCACATCCTCCGAAGGCACCCCGGGGAGCGGCGAGCGGGGCGGGGTGCACGGCCACTGTGCCGGAGGCTCTCGCACAGCTGTCTCCTTCTCCAGGGCAAGGCTGAGCTTGGCAGTCAGGGCCTTCCTGGTCGGCCACTGCTCTGGCCCAGGGCCCTCGCCCTCCAGGCCGAACAAGTTGGCAAGGGTGCTCTGGATGTGGGCCACGCCAGCAGCCTCCGCATCCAGGGAGCCACTGCTCTGCCGGTTCTCTTCCACCTGGGCCTTCTGAGCCTGGATCGCAGCCTGCACAACGTGGAAAATCTCGTTCCCCTGCTTCGTCTCAAAGGCAAAATTGCCGGGGCCAGACTCGCAGCGCCGGCCGGCTTCAAAGGAGAACATCACCTGCGAGACAGAAGCCGGCTCAGTTCCTCTTCTGGACCGCCGCGGGCATGGCAGAGGGGGTGGGCGAATGCCAGCCCCATGACATGCACCAGCCGCTTGGCCCTGGACTGCAGGGTCGGGACAGGCCTGATCCCCACACGGCCCCTTGGCCCGGGCCCAAATCGGACGGTGGCCCATCGCTGCACAGGCTGTCCGGACGGCCTCTGGCTTGAGCACCTTCCCATTCTCTGCACGGGGCAAGCGCTACCGGTGCTTCGGTACAGTGGGCAAGAGGCTGCCCCCCCCCCCCCCGCAGACAACCCCAAACAGGAGCCTCCCTGGTCGCCCTGCTGCACAAGGCCCATGCCTGGCCCACCCTGCTTTGGCCAGCTGCCGTGATGGCACCCAGGCCAGCAGGCAAGGCTGGCGCCACCCCCATCCCCCTCCTTCCCCTGTTCTCTCTGCCCCCCCTTACACCCGCCCATTCTTCTCCTGTGCCCCACCTTGTCCCGGCCATATCTGCGGAGGAGGCGGTAGGGCCAGGTGTAAAGTGGCGAGCTGGAGTGGGGCTCCGCGAGGGCGAGGCTGCTCCGGGACGCCCTCAGCACGTACGGCCCCCGCAGCCTGCAGCGCTCCGCTGCCTCCGTCTTCTGCACCGTCACCCGGAACTCGCTCACTGTGGCAGACGGGGAGAGCTCTGCAGGAGCACCTGCTGTCCATCAACCCCCCCCCCCACTTGTGTATGTACACACACACACCATCTCCTCTCTCTCTCGCTCTTGCAGAGCAGAGGAGGGCCCATGGGGAAGCCCCCCGTCCAAGCTCTCCCCCCACCTGGCAATCCCGCGCTCCTGGCACCAAAGGCGGCCCAAAGGGCGTTTCTGGCATGCTGACTTGCTCTGCTGCAGCCGATCTCTGCCGCTCCCCCCCCCCGCCACCCACCCCCATCATGCAGGGAGGGCTTGGAATGCACGACGTTTGGGGGGCTCGCCTGCCACGGCACTCCTACCTTCCTCTCGTGAATCGTAAATGGAGTTCGTGGCCATTTCCAGCGCCCGCTCTCTGCCCCGCTCAGCAGGAGGCTGGCCTGCCTGGCCAGGGCTGCCCTGCAGCAAGATGGGAAAGTGCAACCCTGAAGGGGGAGCAGGGCTCCTCACTCAACAGCCTCTCCTCCTCCACCCCAACCAGCGCTCCAGGCTCAGAGCCGCCAGACGAGGCTTCCCGACTGTTCCCGTGCCGGGATCTAGAAGGACAGCCAAGGGGCTCTGCGGTGCAGCATGCGTGCTCATGCCTCTGCCGCTGCCACAGGCACCGCCTTCCTTGAAGAGAGCCGATGCGCGAGCTCAGGCCCGGCCATCTGTGGCCCAAGGCAGACCAATTCGCGATCACTGCTGCCCACCAGCCCCTGGCAAGGCGAATGGCCAGAGCTTCCAGCCCGCTCACCGGGAATGCAGTCTCGCAGAGCCTGGCTACCCACTCGGTCACTTCCTGCGGCTCAGCGGCAAAGACATAGGTGCGCTCGCTGGTCTCGAGGCGGAAGACAGAGAGGCCTTCTTTGGCGCTGCATTCCGGGGCAGGAGCTATGCTCACACAGTCCGCTAGCCGCACGATCTTCTTGTCCAGGCGCTTGGTGCAGACTCTGTCGGCCGCCACGGCACCCTCTTTGCAGTCAAAGAACTCCAGGCGGGCCACACCATGAGAACTGGCTGGGTACAGCACAAACCAGCTCTTCTTCCATCGCTGCAAGCAGACACGGCAGGTGAGTGCTGGGTGAAAGCTGGGGGGGAACCGGCGGGATCCTGCTGGCCCCCTTTATGCACCTTAGAAGCCCTTCACTCCAACCGGGAGCCTTGTGTGCACTTGTGGGCAAAGGCTGGAGCTAGGCCTGGACTCTCTGGCACTCTGGGTTGCCCTGGCTGCCCCCAAGCAAATTGCAACATCTATAACAACAGTATAAAAAGGCCTAGAAATGACCTCAAACCCTGAGCAGGATCTGCTGGGGGCTTCCCAGGCCACCCCGTTTGATTGAATGCTGGACTATATGGACCTTCAGCCTGATCCAGCAGGGCTCATGCTCCTTAGAGGGACCTAATGCAGATTGCGTGCACTGCTTGGGGAGCCTCAGGGTGAAACACAGTATAAAAAAGCAGGCGTTTCCCTCTTGCAGGCTGTCCTCAAGGGGATCCACGCCTACCCAGCCACAGAGTGCTCCAGCTAAATTGGAATCCACTGCCACGGAAGTAGTGGCAGCTGCCAGTCTGTGTGGCTTTAAAAAGGGATTGGAGAGACTCATGAGGGAGGAGGCTATTGCTGGCTACTAGCCTTGCTGGCTCCGAGCTTCCTCCTTTACCAGAGGTGGCATGTCGGCATAAACCAGTTGCTGAGGAGCTTGAGCATGCGAAGGTCTTGCCCCCATCCTGCTGGAGGGAACCTGAGGGCAACTGGTTTGCCACTGTTTGGCTTGCCCGGCTGCCCTGTTTTATCAAAATGCTGGATTAGATGGACATTTCGTCTGACCCAGTGTGGCTTTCATGTTGTAGGAATTGCTGTCCCGTTACCGCATGCTGTAGGAATTGCTGTCCCGTTACCGCTTCACAAAACATGGAGTGCAGGGAAGCTGTGCCGAGCCTGCCTGTCTCCGCTCACCCTTCATCACCTGGCATCCTCCAGATAGTTTGGACTTCAATTCCCATCAGGCCCAGCCAGCACAGCCAACAGCCAGGAATGCTGCAGCTGTGCTCGCCAGACATCGGAGGACACCGGGATGGTGAAGCCGCTATAGTTCCCTGGGCACCCAGAGCAACACGTGAGCCTGGAGGGTCTCCACATGACGATGTCATAGCAAGAAAGCAATGGGAGGCCCGGGGTGGGTTGCAGGAGGCATTCAGCGCACAGGAGCCTCAGCAGAGCCCGTGTGAATGGGCCCTTGAGGCGGGGGAGCAGCTCACACAACACCTGGCCACACTGCAGGCCTATTAAAGAGCTGACGTGCTGTTATTTCAAACAAAACCGTCTCCAGGAATCCGACTTTTGCATATGTGAGATGGGAGGCAGCGGTGGCAAGCTGAGGTTAGCAAGATGGAAGGAAGCCAAACCCACTAGCTCAGTCACCCTCAACATGACAAACAAAGTCGCTGCGTGAAGAAGAGTTCGCTTGAAAGGAAGGAAGTCGGACTCCCGCTCCCGGCGCGATCCAACGGGGCCGGCGCGTTTGCAAATGAAGCCCCAGATGGATGGCAGGCCCTGGTGGGACGCACGAGGCAAATCCCCCAGTTCAGGCTCAGAGCTGCTTCCCTCCACAGCAGCACCACCTGCTTCGGGACTTGAGCAGTGGCCCGAGTACTCAGGCTTAGCAAATGTACCTGCAGTTGGAGTACATGCCACTGAGTCAGAAGCCTGAAAGTTAAGTAGCCGTTCAGCAAAAGCCACTCGCTGAAGGAGAGGAGGTTGCCTCCGGCACAGCTCAAGTTTGGCTTATCTTGCGGGTCCCTGCACTTGCTCCGTACATTAGCAGATCACTGGGAATCCAGGAGCACAATCCCATGCCATTAAAAGGGCTCCAGGTAAGTCAAGGGGCAGGTAACGGCAGCTGTCCAAATGTACAGTCCGGGTTTGTTTAAGCAAGCAGAAAAACCAGACAGAACACAAATGGGGTGAGGGAAGAGGCCCCCCTCCTCCCCAAGGATGCCAGCTATGGCAGACCCCTCTTTCTGAGGGATGAATGAGAGGTCAAAATCCCCTTCAGACTGCTTTTCATGGGAAACTCCATGGCTGGTTCATCTCTGATGGCGCAGGGAGGCCTGCAGAGTCCAGTCAATCCTCAGGCAGTGGTTGATTTAACTTATATTCCGCATTAAGTAGTCCAGAGAACTAAGTGAATGCTCGGACAAGATCCCGAAGCAGGTGCAGATCCATGCTAGTCTTGAGGGTGCTGGAGATCATTTCCTCCCGTGGAAGCCCCCCACAGGGCCACGGCCGGGAAGTGGCGCCAAGAGGGCAGCCACAGCTTCCCTTTTCCCCAGCCGGCGGAGCGCAGCAGGCTGGCCGCGCAGCGCTTTGCTCGCAGGAGACCTCAGGGCAACAGCCTGACGCGCGGGAAAGGCCTCGTGGCAGCTACGCGGAGGGGCCGCCTCGCGGGGCAGGGGCAAGCTACGGGGTACCGCGGCAACAGGCCCTCGCGTCGGGGAAGGCCTGGATCCCGCCCCAGCTGCATGTGAGCACCGCGCCGGATGCAGGACAGCGAGCAGCCGCGCCGCGCGAAGCGGCCCCACGCCCCCCCCCACCTCCGCTCTGCTTCGGGGTCGGCACCGTCAGGCGCCCGCTGGCGGCCCACGGTTCCTGCTCCCCCTCGCGCGGGGAGGCACGCGGGCTCCGCCACGCCGCGCCCCTTTCCTCCCCGCCGCGAGGGCTCGGGCCGGGGATGCCCGCCGGCCGGCGTCTTCCGGGGGCAGCCTCGGCCGAGAGCCCCTTCCGCCGCCTCGCCCAGCCGGACGCCCGAGGGCCGCCGCGTCCACTGTGCGCACCCCGAGCCGGGGCCGCGCCCTGGCTGCGCGCCGCGAGCGGCGGGGCCGGACGCCCCACTCGGGCGCCACTGGCACGCGGGGCGCGCCCCCTCACCCTTCCCGGCAGCGAGGCAGCCGCCGGCCGACGGCACGGGGGCGTCCGTGCGCACGTCCGTGCGTGCCTGGGGCTGCAAACAGTCGCCGGGGCCGAGGCGCGCAGCGAGCCCGGAAGAGCCGGGCGCGCCGCCAGACCCGCGCCCCCGGGCCGGCCCGGCCGGCCCGCCCCGTCGCCCCCCGGCTCCCCGCGTGGTGCCTGGCGCGCCCGTGCTCCCACTCCCACCGAGGGGCGGCGTCGCCCTCCGCGGCTCCGGGAGCGCACTTCCCCTTGACCGAGGACAGGCGAGCCAGGCAAACCCAGCCCGCGCCGGGCTCGCCTACCTTGGCCCCGAGGCGCAGTCCCCCGGGCGGCTGCTGCAGCAGAAGCGGGCCCGCCTTGACCGGGGGGTCCATCCGGGCGAGGCCCGCGAGGCAGCGCTCCGCAGAGGAAGCGGAGCCGCTCCGGAGCCGCCACTTCGGAAGCGGGGCGGGACTCTCACGAGGGCGCGGCCCAGCCCCGCCCCCGCCAAGGAGGAAGACGGGGAGGGGCGGGCCGCTCGCTCGCGGCGGGTGGGGCCCCGGGGAAGCCGGCCCTGCGCCGCCGGGAGCGTGTGCAGAACGCTCCGCTCTTGCGTGCCCGCCTGCCCGGAGCGGCCGTGCGGAGCAGGGGCCGCTTCGGCACTTCTGCGCTGCACGCCGTTTCCTGCGGCTGGGAGGCCTCCGGGCCGGCCGGCCGGCCTGGCCAAGCTGTGGGAGGGGCTGCGGGAGGCCGCTCGCCCCAGCGCGGGCCCCGGCCACTGTCCCGGGGCCTCGGCGCGTTTGCTGCTCGGGCCGGGCCGGCCGGGCCGGGCCATCGGACTCGGGCTGGAGGGGGCGTCACAGGAGGGGCCGCGGAGAGGCGCCTCCCGCCCGGGCATGGCAGCGGGCGCCTCCTCGGCGGAGGGCGGAAGGCGCTCCGCGGCCGCGCAGCTGGCATCCCCGACGCCGGAGGCGCGGAAGTTGAGCGCCGGCGTTTCTTGGCCGCGGGCCGGACGTGGCTCTGGATGGGAGGGGCGCGGGACGCCCACGGAGAGTCGCTCGCCGCCCGCCCGATGCCTCGTCCCTCCCGCCTGGCCGCCCTGTGCTGCTGATGAGAGCCGCGGGCCACGGCGCGGCTGCTTCGCGTGTAGCGGAGGGACGTGCCGCGGATGCCTCTTCCACGGAGAACTGTGCTGCCTTTCCGGGCTCTGTGACTTGCTAGGCCTGCAGGGCTGCACTGGGAATAAATACACCCAGGCTTATATCTCAGCTTAGTCTCAGACTTGCAGGTTCTCAGGCCGCGTGCTGGTAATAGGGCTCCGCGACCGGCGGCGCTCTGAGGTGAGCAAGGAGTGGGGCAGCCGCCTATTCGTTGCCAAAGATGATGTCCTGAGCAGCAGATAAAATACGATACCTGTTGTGTAACATGCACGTGCAAATTTGTATATACTTTCGCGTTCAGAAATACCTTTTATTCAAACAAATGCAAGACACATCATACTCAGGAATACTGAGCCCAGGTGACTTGCACCCCTTTCCATGCAGTTCTCCTGTGCTGACTTGAACAGGCAATTTCAAGGTCTCACTTCGTACGGCGTTTCGATTTCAAACCAAATGTGTACTGTGCAGGCCTGCCCTTTGCCAACTCTCTGCAACAGAGGACTGCCCAATAGGACACCTGGACACCCTGTGCTTCTGTTTAGACCAGCCACAGGTCACCAGCAAGGGTCACAGAAGCAGAGCCTCCTCCGTTCTGCAGCACTCTGTCCTGTGGGCGCCAGGCCTAGCCTGGAATCCCACCTGAGTCTCCAGCCCCTGTGCCTGGAGTGCAGGTCGCCCTCTGCATGTGGTGCACAGACCAGCACTGCAGTGTGACTCAGCCGGGAGGCACTGCTGCTCTCCTCTCGCAGCCCACACAGTCCCAGCTTTGATGACAGCGAGGCAGAGCATCATTACACATTCAGAATGGGAAGACGGTTAGGGTTTGGGCACAAAGCAGAATGTCAGTCACTTTCACTGCACAAGCAAAATCAGCAGCAAAGAGCAAATTAAATGGTAAAATGCTGTCTGGCCATCCCACCCTGTGCTAAGATGCCCCCCTGGTTCTCTGAAGACCCTGTAGAAACACAGAAACTGCGCAAGTCAGAAAGAGGCTCCTGGGCCATCTAGTTTGAGCCTGGCTCTAGCCGGCTCCACTCATGACATGCTCATGGCCTCCTATGTCCATGGCAAAACTCTCCTGGTGCTTGTGTCAGGTACTTACACAATATTTGTAAGTAATTGTGATGCATTTCTAATCCTGCTATTTATGACCTATGTTGTTATTGTATTGTTGTTGTAATTGTTGTATCTATTTTATTTGTTTTTAGGCGTGGGGAAAACCACACCTGGGCACCTGTGCTGGAGAAAACTCACGTCTCTTCTGCACCTGCCTCAGGCTCTCTTCCTAGGACACTTGCCCCTGGTGCACATGCAGGAGGAGGAAGAACCCCCTTCCTTGTTGCTCTGGGGGAGATGCCGGGGAGCCTCTCACTTGCTGACTGTCCAGGAATGGCTTGTCCCCAGCTCAGCAATGGAGGCTAGAAGATTTCTTCAGGCAGGAAGGATGTAGCCAGGTTAGAGTCAGTGCAGTGCAGGGCCACAAGGATGGTGGCCAGATTGCAGGGGAAGCCATATGAGGCGAGACTGAGGGAACTGGGTCTCTTCAGTCTGGAGAAGAGGAGACTCAGAGGGGATCTGTTGGCGACATACAGGTATGTGAGGGGGTGTCACACGGAGATGGGTAGAGACCTGTTCTCCCCTGCAGAAGAGGACAGGTTGTGCTCCAATGGAGCAAAGTTCAGGGAACCCAGGTTCCATTTGGATGCCAGGAAGCGCTTCCTGACAGGACCCCGAGGGTATGGAATGGGCTTCCACAGGAGGTGGTTGAGGCCCCATCGGTGAGGGTGTTCAAGGATAGGGGAGACATGCAGTTGGTGGGCATGTCGTGAGTGGAGCCGCCTGGAGCCAGGGGTCAGACTAGATGGCCTGGGTGGCCCCTTCTGACTCTCTCTCTTTCTGTTTTCATGCTACCTCCCCCCAGTTTGAGAAGTTGCCACTGAGGAGCACTTTCTCAGTCCGATTCTGTACCCAACTGTGGATCCACCTGATTGTTGTTCCATGTAGCCCACATTGAGCTAGTTTGCGAATCAGGATGTCACAGGACACCTTGCCAAGAGCTGTGCTGAATTCTTCTGTCCAGAGCATTCCCACAGTCCACCAGGGAAGTTATCCAATCAAAGAATGAAATTGGATTAGCTTGGCAGGATTTGTTCCTGAGGAATCCCTGCATGGCTTTCAGGGTGTTTGCAGACTGACTGCCTTATATTCTGCTCCAGAATCATCCCAGGACTGATGTCAGACGGACTGGTCTGTAGTTCCCAGGTTCTGTTTCTTTTTCCTTTCTTGAAATTGGACATCAGCCGTTCTCCACTTACCTGGCACTGCCCTCGTCCTCCATGATTTCTCAAAGAGAACACAGCGTGGTCCTGGGAGCCCCTCTGTTAGCTCCTTCAGGAACCCAGGGCAGAGTTTACTGGGCCCTGGCGATCTGAACTCACTCAGCCCAGTTGGATGATCCTGGATCATTTGCCTATCAATCTGGAGCTGCCCCCTCAGCTTGCACTTCCCCTTCATCTGGAAAGTCATAGCTCTTCTTCTGGGAGAAGATGGAGCCAAAGTGGGCATTGAGCACTTCTCTTTGTCTTTGTCAACTGCCGTCACTTTCCCATCCACACTGAGTCCTTCAGCCCCATTTCTTTCCTCTGCCTTTGCTTTGAACATACCTGAAGGAAGCTTTTTTGTTGCTTTCAGCATCTTTCACTAGCCTCGGTTCAGCCCTAGCTTTAGCCTTCCTGACTCCATCTGTGCGATTCCATGCTCTATTTCTGTGCTCCTCCTTGGCCTTCCTTCTACTTGCTATCCAGGTCCTTTCCTGTTTTCAGAGCATCCCTAGCCTTTGTGTGAAGCCACCAGGACTTCTTCTGTCGTCTTGTACCCTTTTTCCTTTTAGAAATTGTTTGGGATTGTGCCTTTAAATTAAAAAAAAAATCCCACTTTTCTTGGTGGCCTTTTCTCATTAGAATCACTTGCCATAGGACCTTACTTATCACTGCTGAGTTTATTCACATTGGCTTTCTTGACATCTCTGGTACTCTTTTGGCCTCTGCTTCTCTAGAATCAAGAATTCAAGTCTGACATGGCCACGTTCCCACCAGGTCTTCCCGGTTGGTTAGCACTTAGTCAAGGGCAGCCGCTCCGCTTGTCCTTTCCTGCACTTTCTCTTAAAGAAAGTGATCAGCAACACATGTTAAGAATCTCTTGGAGGGCCCAGTTAGATATTTTGCTGATCCCTCTGGGAATCAGCAGTCTTCCAGGACACAGGCCTCCAAGGTGTCCATCACACCGGTTTGTTCAAGCTATTTCCCTGACTCAGAGCACTGTCAGCTCCCCTCCCCATTATCTTAATGAGGATCTCCCCATCTTATAATTGTTTTATTCTTGCAATTACTTGGTTTGTCTTTTATTCAGACTTTATCTCTGAAGCCATTTTGGAAATCGTCTTTAAAACATGGAAAGCAGAATAGAAAGTATCTGTGATGAATAAATAACTGTTCAGATGCAGGTTAGGTCACATCCAGTTTAGCCCTCACAGCTGGACGTGTGCAAAGGAGGGGCGTGGGGGGTTGGCTAGAGCATGTGATGTGGCAGCTGCAAAGGCCACCATAGTTGTAGTTCCAAGGAAGCCACTGTTCCGTGTTCGGCTCATGAGAAGTCATGGTTCTGATCCATTCCCTTTTTGCCAGACAGTGCCTGGAGTCCAGTTCTGGCCATCACAAATTTAAAGAGGGACCACCTGGATATAGGAGCGTGTCCAGAGGAGGATGGGGAGGTGGTGAAGGGCTGCTCACTGTTTCACCTGGAGGTGAGGCAACTCGGAGAAGGCTGTTCCTGGCCCACGGAGGCCTGTCACAGGGGCGATGGCTCAGTGCCCACCACGTTCCATGGCCAGGGGAGGGACCTCGGGCTCTCCCTTCTTCCTTGCTCTCAGACAGAAGCTGCCCGCTCCCGTCCTGCATGGGCATCACAGCGTTCGATTAGAGCCTCTGCTGTCCCTTCCAACTCCTGGAAGTGCCCACGGCGCCAACCCCTTGATGGGGTCACTTTCCATTGGGCCTGGCCATGCACAGCGCTGGGCACCTTGCCCCTTCCCTGGGCATTACCCTGGGAGAGGCACGGGGGGGGGGGTTACGGGAGCAGACATTAAACAGAAAATACACTGAGCGTAGTCAAAAGGGTGGGAGGCCATCCCAGTGCGTCCCAGTTCCTACAGGGCCAAGGCTTCCCCCACCCGCTCCGTCTGTCTGGGGTGGGGGAGGCTTCCAGTGGAGCCCAGAGGCGCCTACGCGTTCTGTGGAAAGGAGCACGCCCGCGCGCGCGCCCGTTTTTCCTGCTCAGCCAAGCCCGCCATGGCCCTCTGGCTGCGCGGGCCCTGGTGGGCCGGCCAGTCGCGAGGCCCACCGGTTCCCCACCACCGGACGGCCTCCGAGCAGCTTCCACCGGAGTGCAGAGCCCCAAGGGGGCGCCCGCCGCCCAAGGCAGGCTCGCGCGGGGTGCCCGCTCCACCTCGCTAGGCTGTGCCCTGGGACGCCCCGGCCGTCCGAGGCGGCCAGCAGCACCGGGGGCGGGGTGAAGGGGAGGCCGGACGGGGCGGCCCCTCCACGCCTGGCCCGGGCAGCGGCGCGGACAAGGCGCGAGAGGCTGGCGGCGGGCGGCGGCTCCACAGAGGTCAGCCGGAGAGGGGAGGGGGCGCCGCGGCTTTGCGCTGCGCGGGCGGAGGCCGCCCGCGCAGGCGGGACGGGGATGCGGCGGCGGCGGGAGCTGCTCGCGCGTCTGGGACGCGGGGCGCCGAGGCGGGGGCGCTTCTCGGGCCGTCTGGCGGCGGGCGGCCAGCGCCACTCCTGGCCCGGTTTCCGGCCCGCGGACGCAGCCGGCGGGGAGAGCGGGCGGAGGTGGAGCCGCCTCCCGGGGCGCCCCCTCGGGAGGGCCCTCGGCCCCGGGCGCCGCCGCCGCCGTCGCCCCGCGAGGGCGCGGGCCTTCTTCTCGGAGGGCTGCTCGCCAGCCGCGGCCGCGTGGAGGAAGGCCCGGCCGCCGCACGGGCCGCCAGGCACGGCGCAGCGGCGCCCGGTCGGGGCCCGACGGACCCCCGAAGGCGCCGCGGTGCGCGCTTCTCAGCGACGCGCGGCTCCGGGAAAGCCCGGCGGGCGGCCCGGCCGCTCCTCCCCCGTCTGCGCTTCCCCTGCGGGGACGCGGTGGGCGCCGGCCTCGTACCGCTGCGCGCCCCTCGGCTGCCCCGCCCGCAGTTCCGCTCCCGCCAGCCGGATTGCCCCAAGGCGCGGGCAGCCTTGACGGCGCGCCGCCCCGCTCGCTCCCGCAGCGCCTCCCCTGCTGCTCAGATGCCGCCGCCGCCACGAGCTCGTCCCTGGTTCTTGGGACACCCCGCAGAAGAGAGGAAATGCCCAGCTGGAGTGCAGGGAGAGCCCGGTCAGGTCGGTCTGGCCGACCGGGGGGGGGGGGGGGGCTACTGCTGGACTGGCCTCTAGCCCCTGCGTGCCGACTCAGCTGGACAGAGGGCAAGCCAGTTGCGGTGGCAGCGAGCCCTTTCTGCCCCACTCGTGTGCAAACTGTATGTGGGTCAGGAGTGGGGATCAGGGCCTCCTGCTGATGTAGTGGGGAGCAGGAATCAAAATGTTAAGCAGGTGATGAGACAGGATTTCCCTTTGCAGAAGTAACACCGACCTTCTCTTGGTAAGACTTCTTTGAATCATAGAGCAGTGGACCTGGAAGGGGACGTCCTCCTCGGGATGAGGGGGGCACTGCCCGCTTCCCCTTCCCGAATCATAGAGTCACAGGCCAGTAGAGCTGGAAAGGGCCAGACGGCCATCAAGTCCGGCCCCTGCTCAGTGCAGGCCTCCAGCAAGGCGCCCCCTCACGGGGCTGCCCAACTGCCTCTGGAATGCCTCCACGGGGTGGGGGGGAGCCCACAGGCCCCCCCCCGGGTCACAGGCTCCATTGCCGTGCTGCTCTAGCAGTGAGGGAGATTTTCCTGGTGCCTGGCTGGAACCTGCCTTCCCTGTGCCCAAGCCCTGGGGTCAACAGGAAGAGTCCTGGCCCTCCCTGAGTGGCAGCCTTGCAAGGGTCCCGAAAGCTCGGTCCTGTCTCCCCTCAGTCACCTCTTCTCCAGGCTGAACGGGCCGGGATCGCTCCATTGCCCTTCACTGGCCTTGTTTCCGGTCCCCCGATCGCCCTCGTTGCCCACCTTTTCTAAGTGGCCCCTGTGCAGTAGAGGAGGGCTGCCAGAGCAGCTGCCCTCTGCTCAGGGAGGGGTGCAAGTCCACGGGGGCCCCGGGCTTGACCGGGGCGGCTGGATGCATCTTTGCCTTGCCCCATGCCTTATGCGTGACTCGAGCTGGGCTGGGATCTCGTAAGCTTTGCTCTAAGAAAGCTTCAAAGCACTGCAAGTGGGGAGGCATTTGCTGATGAAGCGATGCTTTCCTACGGTGTCACTCCACCCCATACACGGGTGCTTCATTGGGGCCCTTGCAAGGAGGCTGATTGTCATGGGAACACGGTCCATATGTTCGTCAGAGATGCTGGGGCAAGTCCATAGTCATCTGGCCCTCTTACCATGAGTGTTTCATGGCTCGGTTTGCCTGGAGCTTCACTGCTGGCCGACTCTCTTCGGTGCAGTCCCTGGGTACCCACCCACCCCAGCAGTGGTGCCAGCGCCTGCCCCGCCTGTTCCGCAGTGGCTCTTTGGCAAGCCGCACCCCAACACACACCCTTGCTCCTCGCATGGTCTGGGTGCCTCCTCAGCTGCCCTTCCTGCTTCGGGGGGATTCCACCTGTCCGTCATGGGCAGTTCTCTCTTCAGATTCCCTCTGCCTTGCTTTGCCAGAGTGACCCCATTCCCACGCACCATCCTCTCTTTTTTGCAAAGTCCCATCTTGCCTGTTATAACTTCCTTTGCAGCGTCTGTTGTCACACCAGGATCCTGTTGGTTTTGTTCGTACTTGTAAAAACCTAATCAGAGTGTCTAATTAAGAGGCTTTAATTAAGTATGCCCCAAATGCGTGGCAGGGTTGGACTCTCTAGGTGCTTCCTTTCTGCCGCTCTGGCTGTGACGCTCCGTTCTCCTTCAGCAGCTCGCTCTGCAGAGTGTTCGTGGAGTGGGCAAGGGCCCATTCGTGTGTCTGTGCCTGGGGCGGGCGGTGCTGGATGGCATTTTAGTCTCATTTGCAAACAGTTTGACTTGGTATTTGCTGGGTGAAGGCCCCGATCCCCTCTGCTTTCTGTGATGGGTTGAAGGAGGATTTGTGGGGTCAATAAAAATGCTAAAAAGGAGATTTAGGTAGGCATCCCTTTGTTGACCAAATGGATTTATTCTTGAGAATAACCGGCTACCAGCGAATCCTTCCAGATGGCGCACCTGAGCTGTCCCCCGTTGGCCCTTTTAGACATTGTCATTAGAGAGTTACACGTAATACAGTTAACACTTTCGAATAGGCTGTAGAAGTAAAAAGCTACAAGGCGTGATCTCTCCCACTTGCATACCAAGGAGGATGCTGGGGGCGGGGGGGGGGAGCTATTGCATAGAAGGGAAGGAGGACAGGGTGGGCTGGTGTGAACTGCCCTTTCTCTGAGCTGCTGTTATCTGTTTCGTGCTAACTAGTTTTCTCTGGACAGGTGCCTGGTTAGTGTCAGCTGGGTTTCAAAGAGGCATGGGTGCCGATTTCTCAAACAGAGGGTTTTTCTCAGACCTGGTCATGGGCCATTGATTGCATGATTTAACCAGAGAACGTTCTACCTGTTGATTTGTGCATCGCCATCCATTGAGGAAGGTTTGATACGGAAACTGTGGTGGCAGTTGACGTTCAGCTAAATGAATTCTACAGGTAAAATGTGGAATGCCCCCAAGATCCTCCAGGGATGACTGACTGTGCATGGGCTCAAGGCATAGAATCAGGGAATAGTAGAGTTGGATGGGGCCATGAGGGCCATCAGGTCCAACCTGCTGCTGTTGCTGGGCACCGGTTTGCGCCATCCCACCCAGATGGTGGTCCACTTCTGTTTGACGGTCTCTAGGGTGGGAGCCCCCACCTCTCCAGGCAGCTGGTTCCCCTGCCGCCTTGTTCTGACGGTGTGGCAGGGCTGACGGCCATTGTGTGCAAGGAGAGAGATGCCCTGCCCGGCTTAGCTCTTTCTGGCTCTGCCGAGGCTCGCTTCCTGGAAAGCAGGACTAGGGGGGCCGCAGCCTGTGCCCCTCCCCACCTCCTGCCTGCTCTTGCGGTTGGAAAAAGCAGCCCTCTGGCAGAGGAGAGTTTGCCAGCCCCCGGAGAGCATCACGCGTTCTCTGGAGGAGCAGCCCTCCTGCGCCCTCCCTGCAGCTCTCACCAGGCAGAGCAAGGCTTGCTGGGGGCTGCAGCGGGAGGGTGGGAGCGGTGCCAAGCCGCTGATGGACAGGGCTGGGCAGCCCCCTGCCTGCCCTTGCCCACTTCTGCTCACCTGCTGCCCTCCGGTGTGGGGACGGTCCTGCCAGTGCTGCACGGAGGTCGGCTGGCTGGCTGGCTGTGGGGCCATGCCGTCAAGCGTCCTTGGGAGCCGAGAAGGCTGCCCTCGCGTGCTCGGGGGCACGGCAGGAGGACCGGGGCTGCTTTCGCCATCCAAGCTGCTGCGAGGGGCTGACTCGAAGGCAGAGCCCCTGGCTAGCGTCAGACAGCTGCCATCTCGGCCCACCAAGTAGGACCCCCACCCGTGTCCTGGAGAGGCACCCTTGCCAGCCCCCGGCAGCTGGTGGTGGGCCAGGTGGACTGAGGGGCTGAGGCGCTGGAAGGCCGCTTGCTGTGCCCCTCCCTCTGGCCAGGCCAGGCCAGGCAGCAATCCAGAGGTCTCCTGGCGCCTCGGCCCCCCCGCCCGCCCTTGCCTAGCCTCGGGGCTCTGAGTGGGCTGGCTGTGCTTGGTTAATGACCGAAAGGCGAGTTGTTTCCAGAACCAACTCCTTTGCCCTCTGTAACTGGCTGGCTACCTGTCCGCTCTCTCCTCAGGGCTTACCTCTCCTTGACCACCAAGACAGACCCCCCCGCCCCCCTGGAGGCCCCTCATCCCATGCGCCGCAGGAGCCAGTCCTCAGAGGGGGAGGCTGCGCTGCCACAGGCGCCTCAGGAAATTCCAGAGACTTGCTTCCTGGGCTGGTGATCCTCCCACCCCCCCTCCTGTTCCCCTGCCCCTGTTTGCTTAAGGACTGGCAAATGCCAGCCCAGGCTGGGCCGGCCAGACAGCCGCATGCGTCTTACTCATCCGGCACGGGGGAGGGCCTCCCTTCAGCCAAGCCGAGCCCCATGCTCCTCTGCAGAGTGGGGCGGAGGCCCTCCAGGTTCCAGGCAGACGAGGGCCTTTCGTTCCTCGCCCCCCGGCTTGAACCCAGGACCTTCTGGGTGCGGAGCAGGACTCCACCATGGGACCAGCCCTGGGCGGGGAATGCGTCATGCAGCCGCCCCAAGAGGGGCATGAGAAGGGGGGGCACACCTGGCCTCGTGTGCGCCATGCTCCTGCCCCACTTCTGGCAGGGCAACCGCCCCCTGACAGCACAGGGCAGAGCAAGCAGAGCTTCCGGGGGGCTCTTGACTGGCTTGGCACACACACTCAGCTGGGGGGGGCGGCGTATAGAATTGTCCCCCCCCCAATTCCTGCCAGGGAGGTAGGTGGTGCGTAAAGGACCACAGCTAGCCGTGGCCTGTAGCGGGTTTTAGCGACCTGGTCTAGCCAAGGGATCAGCGGCCCCCCTGGGAGGGCAGCGCACAAGCCTCGGGCCAGGCAGGCCTGGCGGACGGTGCTGCCTGGCAGTGGGGTGGGGGCAGGTTCGGAGAAATAGTTGCTGAGCACTCCTGTGAGAACCGGAGGGCTGCCCGCTTTGCTTGCTTGTGCCCTGCGTAGCATCGCCCTCCGGGGGCGAAAGGCTCGTTGCCCTCATGGGAGCGCTTGTAGCAACGGGAACTCCAGCGAGAAGTCACACGGGTGAGGAGCAGCCTGCGGAGGCCATGCTCCGCACAGGAGGCTCCAGGGAAGGCGATGCGTGGGGATGTGGAGACTGGTTGCCGTGCGTTCGGTGCAGCCTGGCGATCGCGTCGGAGTGGGCTGCCCCGGGCAAAGGCCTGAAGAGGAAGCCCTCCTGGCCGGCCGCGCGAGGCTGCTCCCCGTCCACGCCCCGCTGTGCTCCGCAGGCGGCAGAGCTCACGTTGGAAGGCTGGATGGAGAGCCACTGGCCCCGGCCCCGCTCACAATTCCCCGAGACCTCGTGGCATGGCCAAGCAGCAGCGTGTGGCCGCGAGGCTGCTCTCCGGCCGCGGCAGGGCTCCACGAGGAGAGCTGCCGCCGGCAGTGCCTGCTGCCCCGGGGGTGGCGCAGGGGGGAGGCAGGGCCATGGCCAGGCAGAAGTGGGGGCCTGTGGGGCGGGGAGGGGGGTCTGGAGTGCCGCGGAAGGCCAGGGGGCGCTGTAAGCAGGGCACGTGCCCAGCGCCCGGGGGCCAGGGCGGATTCCCCGGGCGCAGGGACAGCCGCGCCCCAGGAGAGCTGCAAGGGATGGGGCGCTGGCTCCAGGGCAGCCCTGGGGCCCACCTGCCCTGACCCCCTCCCTCTGTGCCCAGGTCAGGCGACGAGGAAGATGGGCCCGGCCCCGGGCAAGTGGGAGCTGCTGGGAGTGCTGTGCAGCCTCTGGCTCTGGGGGACCGTGGCCCAGCCAGGCACCCCGGCCCCCACAGGGCAGAGCCCAGGGGTCCCCCAGCTGCAGTTCCGGCTGGCCGGCTACCCCCGCAAGCACAACGAGGGGCGCATCGAGGTGCTGTACAACGGCGAGTGGGGCACCATCTGCGACGACGACTTCACGCTGGCCAATGCCCACGTCCTCTGCCGCCACCTGGGCTTCGTGGCGGCCACCGGCTGGACCCACAGTGCCAAATACGGCAAAGGAGTTGGTGAGTGGGGGCCGGGGCAGAGGAGGGACAGCGGGGCTCCTGGGCAGTGGGGAGCCGTGCAAAACAGCGACTCGGAGCAGAGCCTGGCCTGGCAGCAGAGGCGCCCGCACACCTCCGGGTCCCAGATGTAGCCCTGGGTTGCATCGCAGGTGAAGCTGAAGAACCAGGGAAGTGGTAACAGAAGCCTCTGGCTTTAAAGCATGTGCAGAGTGCCTTCCCCCATCACTGAATAACTGCAAGCTGCTCTCAGGAGCAGGAAGCTGCGTCCCGGAGGTTGCTTCAGGGCAGGGGGGTCCCGTGCTCGTTTGGCGAGACATCCCGCTTCCCCCTCACCGCTCCTGACCTGTCCGGCTGTGCCTGTTTAGGCCGCATCTGGCTGGACAACGTGAACTGCGGGGGCAGCGAGAAGAGCATCTCCAGCTGCCAGTCGCGGGGCTGGGGCAACAGCGACTGCTCCCACGAGGAGGATGCCGGCGTGATCTGCAAGGACGAGCGTCTCCCCGGCTTCAAAGACTCCAACATAATTGAGGTGGGCCAAGTCGGTGGGGCGAGCGGTGGGCACCCTCCCGCTGCCTCTGTGTCGGGAAGACTCTGGGGGCTGCTGTGGCTAGCCCTGGGCTGCCTGCTCGGCCCCCAGTCCCTGGCTTCGGTGCTGTGCTGTCTCTCCTCCCCCCGCCAGCTGACACACCATGGCTGGCTGCCGGCACGGCCAGGCCCCTGCGGGAGGGTGGCCTGCGGTGACTGCCTGGGCATGCAGCTCACATTGACTTTTATGACAAATATGTAAAGTAAGTAGTTAAAATGCAACTATTTAATATATTTGTAGGCTGCCTTTTAAGGTAAAGGTGGCTTCTAACATATACATTCACAATGCAGAGTTCTTAAAATTGCAAAACGGTGTAATACAACTACTGTAATTACTCATAAGAACTAGTGGCAACCTTAAAACTGGAAAAGTGTAGACCTGTACGAAAAATACCTGAGTCACTACAGCTAAAATCCTATCAAATATCCAGCATTCTTTAAGAGAAAGCCCGAGACAAGGAAGAGGCCTCTGGGACCTGCTGGTGGCCTGTGGCACCCCTCCGACCAGCAGGCTCGATGGGGCCATGCCCACCCACAGGTGGCCCCCTCCGCTGCGACAGCAGCCCCCGTGGGCCAGTGCCACATACTCCGCCGCCCGTGGGCTTTGTGGCTCCTTGGCTGGAAGCCGCCCGCCACTGCAGCTTTCAGCGCCACGGATGCTCTCCAAGGACGTGTCACCCACCCGGCAGGACCAGTGGCAGGCCCCGTCCCTGGCCTGTTGGCCAATGCTCTGCCCACGTCCTCGGCAGGCTGCGCACCGTGCGCACACGCCTGCGACTCGTGGGCTTCCTCGGGCCACTGCGAGGCGAGACCTCTGGGGGGCCCTGGCAGCACTTCCCTTCCCGAGACCGTCCCGCGCCCTCCTGTGCCAGTGGCAGGCGTAGGGGTGGGGGTAGGCGGGGGGCTGTTGGGACGCTGCCAGCTGTGCCGGGACTCCCAAGCACAGCTTTCCAGATGCCCCAGCCAGGCCTCCTCCACCATGTCTGCGGCGGTCCCAGGGCAGTGGTGCCCCCCACATCAAGCCGCAGCCCTCTGGTGTTCTCTACAGCTGTGGGTCAAAAATGTGGAGGGGAGACCCCACAGCAGGAGTGATCCCTGGAAAGGTGGGTCCCATGTGGGGCAGGCCCACCCTCCCCCCACTCCTCTTGCAGCTCCGGCTGTGGGTCACGCCGCGATTTGCACACCAGTCCTCGAGTGGCACTAGCCGCCTTCCCCAGGTTTCTGCCCTGGACTGGGCTCTGTGCTTGGTGGCCACGTGGCCCCTTCCAGCGCTGCCGTTCTTGTGCCGCTTCCTCTTGGATCTTCCTCCACCTTTGTTTACAAAAAGAAGGGACTGCGGCGCACCTAAAGCAGCAGTCCCTGGCAGGCCTCCCTTTCGCCTTCCTGCCGAGGGTCTCCTAACCTCACCCTGCAATTAACGACTTAATTTAGGGTTAGGGTTAAAATAGCTACCTTTTTGTCTACCTCACTCTCCCTGGATTGTGTATGGGCACAGTGCGGATCAGATCAAATGCAAGTATTGCAGTGGGGGATAAAAACAGGCCTGGTTTGTGCTCTGAGGGTGGGGAATGGGTGCCAAGCACCCATTCCAGACCCACCTCGCAAGGCCTCTGTGTGGGGAGGGGAGCCAAGGGGGCACGTTTGTCATCCAGCTGCTGGCTGAGCAGACTGGCCTGCCTGGAGAGATTGGGCTAAGAAAGCGACAAGGCAGCAGTTGGGTCTTATCAGGGAGGATGAACGGGCTGTGCAAACCCACGGAACTCTGTGGGCCTGGAATGGGTGCCAAGCACCCATTCCAGACCCACCTCGCAAGGCCTCTGTGTGGGGAGGGGAGCCAAGGGGGCACGTTTGTCATCCAGCTGCTGGCTGAGCAGACTGGCCTGCCTGGAGAGATTGGGCTAAGAAAGCGACAAGGCAGCAGTTGGGTCTTATCAGGGAGGATGAACGGGCTGTGCAAACCCACGGAACTCTGTGGGCCTGGAAGCACACCTTGCTGCCACCCTGGCCCTGTGCTTTCTAGTAAAGATCACTAGAAAGAAATGTGGGGGGGGGCGGTTTGATGATGCAATCAAGCAGCTTGTGCACCCCCTGCATCTCACGCGTGGCAGTGAGAGGCGACACCTGCCACCTCCTGCAGAGCCCGTCCAGCCCATGGGAGCTGCTGCCCAGCAGGAGGGAGGCGCTGCCTGGATTCAGATCGTTGCTCCCAGAAATTGCCTTGCAGCATCGGTGGCAGCAAGGAATTCTCCCGGCTGGACATTTCGGGGTGAATTGGGTGGGGCTTGGGGGCCCCCAGAAGCCAGGTTACTCAGAGGAGGTGCTGGAAAGCATCGGCTAAGGGCACTGTGTGGGGGGTGGGCAAGGGGGAGGGAGGCAGTGCCCTCTGGCTGCAGCCGGCCTACCGTGCGGCTGGGATCCCAGTGTGTTTTAAGGCGGCCCACTGGTGAGGGCCGTTTCCGGACGTGTGGCTGACTAATGGCAATCTCACTTGCACCCTATAATGGAAGTGCTGGAAAATGCCCCAGGCCATCCCTGAGCACCCCTTTCCCCTGTCCTGCCCAACCCGTCACATGTCTGCCCAGCGAAGGGCAACCTTGGGGAGGGGGGGGAGCTCAGGCAGAGCCTGGAGGATGGGAAGGGGCACTGCATGGGAACCGCCCTTCCGAGAAGGGAGGAGGAGGCGGCGCAGCGCAGCTGGAGGGCAGATGTCAAGGCGTACAGCTCCTTGCTGTGGGAGCCAAAAGCCAGGCCTGGGCTGTGGGACCGGTCCCAGAACAGAACAGATTCCATGCTGGGAGCCAGGAGGGAACGTTCCCCTCCGGCTGGCTAGTGGGGCGGGGGGGGGGGGCTTGCCTTGCCCTGCCAGCCTTCCCTGGCTTGGGCCCTGCTTCTTCCTCCTGTTTTTGGCATCCTGCAATCTGGGAAATATGTCTAAGCTACCGGGGAGCTCTGGCGGCCACTGATCTGCCTGAACGATGGGCTTCGACCGGCTCTGGCCTGGGAGGTCTGCATCTTGCCAGCAGCCTGTGCCCGGAGCCCCCCCTCTGCTCCTGCCCGAACCCTTCCAGCCCTTCCTTCCAGGGCGCTCAGGGCTTGCCCAGCTTCCCTCCAAGTGGCTTCTGCTCACCTCAGAGCAGCAGTTCGGTTCGTTCTCCAATTGCTGGAGAAATACGAGACGAAACGGCTGGGACGGGGCGGGCGGGGGGGGGGAGGCAGGCTGGGCTGGGATGACACACTCCACCCCCACAGCATTCCTCCTTTCCATTCGTCAGCCAAGCAGGAGGAAGCGGGGCCTGTCCAGCTTTACTTTGGAGAGCGAAAAGTGCGTGGTGGCTCAGCAAATAGGTCTCGGCCTGCAGCGAGGGGGCGCCGCGGACTCGTGCCTTTACCCTTGTTGCAGGAGTGGCTTTCTGCCTCTGCCGGCAGATCCCGCAGCCCCTGGTCTGGCTTCCCCCGTCGTCTTGGGGAGAGGGCCTCGGGGGCCCTCCCCTCTGTGGAGGCCAAGCCGGGCCAGGGCGCTTTCGGTGGTGCAGGCGCTTCCACCTCCAGCTGCCCCAGAGCAGCCTCCTCGTCCTTGCCCTCGCCCGCTGCTGCTCCCCCCGACTTGTTTTGCTCGCCTGCATGCAAGTTGGGCTCGCTCCCTTTCGTCTGAAAGCGGAGGGGTACCTGGCATGCAGGAGGGCCGACTCTTGTCCCCGTAACTTCCCCTGGGCTGGGCCTGATCTAGCGCCTGGATTTCGGCCAGGCTTGGAAGACCCTGTGGGTTCTGGCGAGGAAAGCAGGTTGGGGGGTGCGTATGGGTTTTCCTCCCAAGACGCTGCTTCGCGGAGGGACAAGGCTTCGGCAGGCAGGCAGGCACATGCTGCCCCCTTCTCTGCCATTTGGGAAGCTCCTGTTAATGGAAAGGGGGAGGGGGCTGCTGTCCTGGCATTTGTCTGTTTTCCGTGCCAAGTAGGTTCTTCTGGGACTGAACTAGAATTGTTCCGTTTGAGGAGGCTGCCTGCCAGGGACTTCTCTGCTGCAGCCGAACTAACATGGCAGAGACCAAGAGAATCTTCCCGCCATGTGCCCTGCATCGCTGGCATTTGAGCCCCATGACACAGCAATGGTGCCACCCTGAATGGCTTTGGAGGGAGCAGGAGGGGGCAGCTGCTGAGGCTTTTGGGCGCTGGGCAGCATGAGCCGGCAGGCTGCGCAGTTGGCTCGTGGGCCTGCCTGGCCCTTCCCATGTGGCCATCGGGCTGGCCACCGTGAGGGAGCAGGAAGCCCGGCTAGCAGGGCTCAAGCCCAGTTGGGATTCCGTGCTTGGCTTGTGCTCTCATGCCTGCTTTGCACCAAAGAGCCACAGGCACTCTCCGGACAAGCAGAGGAGGGGGCTGCCATGCCGAGGGTTGTGCCTAGCCAGTGGCTGCTGCAGAACAGGCTTCCTCCCCTTTCGAGATCAAGCCATGGGAAATTTGCTGTGGGAAGCAAGAGGGAGCAATGTCAGCTTGCCCCCATCCACAGTCTCTCCATGAGGCGGCCCAGGCCTGAGGCCCTGAAGAGCTGGGCGGAGAGAACAGCTCCCCAGCCTGCCTGCAAGTGGGACAGGCCAGGTGGCCTTCCTGGGGGGGACCCAGGGGCAGCTGCTGCGAGCCTGTGGGTTGGGGCCGCAGGGCTCCCGTGTAGGGCTGACCCCTCTTCCTCCCTCCCTCCCTCCAGACAGAGCAGAACCATGTGGAGGAGGTGCGGCTGCGGCCCGCAGTGTCCCACGCCAATCGGCCACTGCCTGTGATGGAGGGTATCGTGGAAGTCCGCCGGAGGAGCGGCTGGGCCCAGATCTGTGACGAGAACTGGGACAGCCGGAACAGCCGGGTCATCTGCGGCATGCTGGGTTTCCCTGCCGAGAAAAGAGTCAACCGCAATTTCTACAAGTGAGTGCAGGACGGCGTGTCTGCGTGTACCACGCACGCCTCTGCGTGCGCGTGGACTCCGGAATGCCCGCTTAGCCTGGCCGTGGAAGGACGGTCTCGTTGTTGTGTGTGGGGCTGCGACAGTGGGGACGGGGCAATGCGCTTGCCTTAGCCGGTGTGTTGGGTGCCTGCAGGTCTGGACACACGTGTGTGCTCTCCAATGGCCGGAAGGCTGGATGTGCGCAGAGACGCCCCGCTCCTTCCTGCTCTGGCAGCTGGCGCAGTCCCAGGTGGAACCACATTCTGAGCATGCGCTCCAGGCCTTGCTGGGCTCCCTGAACTGCGGCAAAACTGGCTGGTGGCACCGTGGCCGAGCGCCCCTTGGGCCAAGCTGGGCTGTCTGTGCGGGGGCTGGGGTCGCACAGGGGGCCTGCCTTGCACTCGACCGGTGAAAGGTCCCCAGATGGGAGCGTGCTTGGCCAGAGGGGAGGCCGGCCTTGGAAACTCGCTTTCAAGGTGGGCGGGATATGGCCAGAGCAAGCCTCAGGTGAGGGGGGCTGCTGCTGCAGGACTGCCACCCGGGGGTGGGGGTGGCACTGCCTGGTCCACAGTTCAGCTGAAGTAGCATAAAGGAAGACCTCTGTAGCGCTTGTGGAGCCTGATAGGTGAGCAGAAAGGTTCAGGCCCAGCTGTCTCTTGCGGTTCTGCGAGAGATGGATCTGCAGCCAGGTGGCATGAATCAAGCCACACTCCAATGTGCAGGGGAGGGCGGCATGACCCCTCGCCCCCGGAAGGGACTCCGCAGTTCACTTCTGGGGTCCACCCATTTGCCATAATCATTGCTGTCCCTCGAGAACAATGGAAGAGTCCAGAATTTTAGTGTAGTGGGAGAGGCACTGCAGAAACTCCAGCTCCAAAGGATCAGCAACCGGCAGTACGCCCCCGGCCCCTGTAGCAGCCCCCCAGCAGCAGTGGGAGCAGCTCGTGCTGCCCCCCCCCCCGCTCTTATGCAGGCCTGGGGGGCAGGAGCCACCCTCCATGTGAGGAAGTGGAGCCGAGCCCTGAGCAGACACGTCCGGAGTGTGCTGCTGGTGCTCCGCCGTGAGGTCCCCCTCCTTGCCTTCCTTCTGGCAACCAGCCCAGCCCTTCCTGGGCTAACTAGCTCCGTCATCCCCTCCCGGGAGCCCTGCGCAAGTGCACCCACGGTGGTGGCACACATGCTGCTTGTGAGGTGCTGCTCATGGGGCTGGCTGGCCCGGCCCGGCCCGGCCCACCTCGCCTCCCCTCGCCTCCCCTCCCCGCACATGCTTCAGGGGAGCAGCAGGAGATGGAGGCGCTTTGGCGTTCCCCCCACATGCCTTTTCAGGGAGCACTGCCTCGGCCTCACCCCCACATTGAGGGGGAAGCGGAGGAGGCTGAGGCAAGAACGGATATTTGGACTGGCCTTCCTGCCCACGGAAGGTCTCTTTGAACACCACTGGGGCCCCCTTCAAGCAGGTGCAGAAAGAAACTCCCCTGCATCCAGTGCGCCTTGCTCCCGAGTAGACACATCCGGCCACGTCCACCGTTCATGTTTCTTTCTTTCTGATAGTCGTGCCAAACACAGAGGGGCATGAGTGGCGCTGTGAGAAGCCAAAGGGCACTTGCGGCTCTGGGCACACGTGTCCATGTGAGGCCTGGGGCAGCCTGCAGGCCACGCGTGGCCTGGCTTCTTGCAGCGACAGACGTCTGAGGTGTCCGCCATGCAGCCCTCCCAGTGTTCCTTATCTCATCACCTTCATTTTCCGCCTTCCCGCCAGGGGCTGAGCACCTTGCCGGTGTTATCCTCACAGCGACCCTGTGGGGTGGGTGGTGCTGAGGCAGCGGCCGCTGGGGCCGCCAGTGGGAGATGGGGCACACCTGCCAGCCTGCCTCAGGGGGCGCAGCGTCCTGGGCGGCCCTCGCTTGGGGTGCAGCACTCTCATGCTCCCGAGAGTCCAGGGCCGCTCCTGAGCGTGCGCATGAGCAACTCCTCCTGCGTGCCTGCACACCGTTCTGGCCTTCTCCGTTGCGCCCATGGCACTGCCCCTCGACTTGTGGGAAAGCAGGCAGGACGAGGCACGGCATGTTGTGGGGCGTCAGGGGCTTGTCTCGCCTGTGCATGGGCGCCCCGGTGCCGAGGCGTCGCTTCTGCTCCAGGGCTGGAGAGGGCTGCCCCGGGGCCTTCAGTCTCCAGCTGGCCCCGAGAAGGCCCGGGGAAGTGCCACCGGGGAGCGGCACATGACCCCACACCCCACTCAGGGACTGCCCCACGGAGCCATCCCCCGGGCCAGCCCGGCAGCGCCTTTGCCCCCCTGAAGAAGCTGCTGGCTTTCCTTCCCAGGCAGTTCAGGCAAGCAGCCAAGGGCCGGAGGAGGCCAGTCCCTCAGAGGAGGTAATGGCGGGCCAGGCGGGCCCTGCCTTGAGGCAGTGGGCCAGTCAGGCACCGCCTGAGCCGCCGAGTCCAGCTGCATGACACTGTCCGACCTGGATTGGGTGCTGTGGATCCGGCGGCGGTGGAAAGGCCATGAACTTCATCCCCAAACCAGGGGGCCCTTGCCGCTTGCTTTCCGCCGCGGGCCAGGCCGGCTGGCAGGCCTGCAGTTTGGTGTCATGGGCTTCATCCGGACTCGGGGACTCTGCTGAATGGCTTTTTTTGGGGGGGTGCTTTGTGCTTCTTGCTTCCCCAGCCTCTGGGCCTTGCACTCGGTGAGTGTGCCGGGAGCGGCCCTGGAGGAGGGTGCCATCGTAGGAAGGGAAGGCCTTGCCCTACGTGAGCCACACAGACGGCATGTGTGCAGGGGTGGCTGAAGCCGGGGGGGGGGGGTTGTTTCACCTCTGTGACACCAGTGGGTTCCGCTTGGCAGGGAGCAAACCGCTTAGACCGAGCGAGCGAGAGCCATGTGTGTGCACAGGCTGCCCCCTAGTCCAGCATTTCCAGCACTGGCGGGCAGCAGCTGCTCCCTGGGCCCCACCTGGCAGCGCACCCTCTGCCGCCCAGGGCCAAGCGGATCCCAGCATGCCCAGCGAGGCGCTGCCGCAGGTCCATGCCCGCCGCCCCCCCGCAAGCATGGGGCATTGTTAGTGCTTTTGCCTCCCGCACCAGAATCCACCTCTAGAGCCCCCCAGAAATGCCCAGGGCAGGGAGGGTGCGCCGCCTCCCCGCGGAGTGGCGCCGGGCGCAGGCAGGGCTCGTCCGCTCGCGGCGCGGATGCGGCCCGGGCCTAGCGGGAAAGCGCCGCGGAGTACCCCCGCTGCCTTCCCCCGGGATGGACCGCGCCTGCTCGGGAGGGCGCTGCGAGAAAGAGCGGGGGAGCGGATCGGGGCCCGCAGGGGCGGCTGTGCACAGGCCACCCCCCTCCCCTCCCCCGCAGACCGGCCGCTTCGAGCGGGCCCGCCGCCGCCCCGCGCCCGGGGAGCCCCTCGAGCTGGCGGCGGCCCCGGAAGGGGAGCCGCCACGGGGCGAGGGGGGCGGGGGCGCGCGGTTGGCCGCTATCGGAGCCGGCCGGGCTCCCGTCCCGGGGCAGCGGCGGGCAGCCGCTCTGACCCGGGCAGCGGCGGGCGCCTCTCCCAGCCAGCGCGGCTGCCCCGCGACGGACGCGGCCGGCCGTGCCGGCGCGCCGCTCCCTTGCGGCCCCGGAGGGGCTGGCGAGGCCTGCGCGGGACCCGAGCGCCCGCCCAGGCCAGACAAAGCCCGCAGTGTGCGCCTCCCGCCCGGGAAGAGTGACTCACCCGCGGGCAGCGCCCCCGCCCCCCGCCGCCGGTCTCGAAGAAAGCGCCTCTTTGCTGCAGCGGCGGGGCGGGGGGGGGGGGCGCGGCCGCACAGTGCGCGTCTCCCGCGGGGGCCGGCGAGGGCCTGCCCGCCCGCGGCCGCTCCCGCCTTGCCTTGAAAGGGCCCACGGGGGCCGAGGAGGCACCCAGGCGCTCCCGCCCAGCGCCCCCGTGAGGCCACGGGGCAGATGCGGGGGGGGGGCGCTCTTCCCGCCTCTCGTGGGGGGAGGCGAGATGCCCTCCCGCTGCCCCCAACGGGGAGGCAGGCGGGTCAGACAGGCCCCCTGCTGCGCCGGCCCCTTGCTCTCTTCTCGGGGCGGGGGGACAAGACCCCCATGCCCGGTCTAGAGAGGAGGCCCGTTTCCCCCCTCCCCATGAGCGCCCGGGTACTGGGCTTGGCACTGTCTGCCCCAGCACCTGGAGGCTCCTCCCTCGCCCCTCCCCGCTGCTTGCTCAGGGCAGCTGCTGGAGCCCAGCCAGCAGAGGGGCCGCTCTGCCTCCCTCTTTGTGCTCCCTGTTGTCGGGAGGGGTAGTTGCCCAGCCGCCCGCCTGTTCTTCCGTGTTGGGGGGCAGGCATGGCGGCAGGCGCCTGGCAGGTGCCCCGGCTGGCCCCTCGCTCTGGCGCAGTGGCTGCTCTTGCATGTGCCTCCGGCATGGGCACGGGGCTCTTCCGGCCGGAGCGGCGCCTGCGGAGGGGCCTTTCACGCTCTTCTTCTGTCTGTTTTCCAGGCCAGTCTCCAAGCCTCACCCCAAACATGGAGGCAGGAAAGACTTTAGGGGCGGCAAGAGGTAATGGGGGAGCTGCTGCTCTGCCCGGGGGCCGGATGCCGTGCCTGGGCTGGCGCTGGCTGTCCGTGCCAGGCAGCCTTCAGGAGGCGCTGGAGGGCAGCGCTGAGCAGGCCTCTCCTCTCCTCCTTGCCCCGAGCCCCAACGCTGGCTGTCGGCGAGCCCAGAGTAGCTGTGGCCTGGAGTTCTGGGGGCCTGGGGGGACCGGTGAGTGCACGGCCGGCATCTCATGGCCCCTCGCAATCCCGCGCAGTGACCCCCTGCCCGGCTTCCTTTCAGGCTGTTGACGCAGCACCAGCAGCTGAACTACTGGCTGCACTCGGTGGACTGCCGGGGGCACGAGGCCCACCTCTCCTTGTGCTCCTTCGAGTTCTACAAGGGCAACACGACTGGCGCCTGCCAGGGCGGGATGCCTGCCGTGGTGAGCTGCATCCCTGGGCCCCTCTTTGTGCCTGCCAGCAACACGCACAAGAAGAAGAGGCGGCAACAGCAGCAGCAGCAAAGGCCGGTGAGTGAGTGGGGAGGCGGGGGCCCTCACAGGGCACCAAGCTGGCTGTCTGGCTTGCTAGAGGCACAGGGTGGGTGGGCGCAGAGGGCACCACACTCAGTGGCTGACCGCCTCCCTGGACCTAGTCAGAATAGTAGCCTTGGAAGGGTCCCCCGAGGCCACCTCCCAGGCAGCGCAGGCCACAAGCTGAAGCCTCCCTGACAGAGGGCTGCCTCCAGTGTGGGAGAGCCCATCATCCCCATGATACTGCTCTGCTAGTCGGGAAATCTGGCTTCCTGTGGCTTAAGCCCATTATTCCGTGTCCTGAACTGGGATGATGGAGAAGAGATCCTGGCCCTGCTCGGTGTGGCACCCTCGCACCCCCATCGGTCTTCTCTTGAGGCAAAACATGCTCGGCCCATCAGTCTCTCCTCACAGGCTTTGTTTCCAGTCCCTGGATCATCCCTGTTGCCCTCCCCTGACATTTTTCCAGCTCATCTGCATCTTTCTTCAACTGTGGTGCCCAGAATTGGACATGGGACTCCAGAGGAGGCCTCACCAGTGCTGTATAGAAAGGAACTGGTACCTCACTTGATTTGGAAGTGGCACTTCTACCAACACAGCCCAAAATAGCACCTGCCCTTTTTGCAGCCACATCACCTTGTTGACTCATACTCCACTTGTGAGCTGCAACAATTCCAAGATCCTTCTCACCTGCAGCCTTGTTGAGCCCAGTATCTCCATCTTGTAGTGATGCTTTCGGTTCCCTTTTCCCAAGTGCAGGACTTGGCATTCATCCCTCCTGAACGTCATTCCGTCACTTTCAGCCGAGCGCGCCAAGCTATCAAGATCTCCCTGAATCTTGGTTCTGTCTTCCGGGATGTTCGCTCTCCCATGCAGTGCTGTGTCCTCTGCAAATCTGACCAGCATCCCCTGCACCTCTCCACCCAAGTCATTAACAAAACCATGGCAGGGCACTGGGCCCAGACTGAGCCCGCAAGCACCCCACCCATCGCCCCCCTCATCTGAGAGGGTGCCATTGAGGGGTGCCCGCTGAGTCCAGTTCCATAGCCAGCTCTGGATCCACCTGACAGTTACTCCATCCCAATCATTTTAGCTGGCTTGCTGATTGGAATGTCATGCAGCACTTTGTCAAAGTCTTCGCCGAAATCAAGGCAGCTTATGCCCACAACATTCCCACAGTCCATCAGGGAAGTCACCCAATCAAAAATGAAATCAGATTAGTCTGGCAGGACTGCTTCTTGGTAAGTCCATGTTGGTTTCTAGTAATAACTCCATTATCTTCAAGGTGCACACAGACTGACTCCTCTATTATCTCTTCCAGAATTTTCCCAGGGATCGATGCCTGGCTGACTGGGCTGTAGATCCCAGGGTCTTTTTTCCCATCCTGGAAGACCGAGACAACATTAGCCTGCCTTCAGTCATCTGGCACGTCTCCCATCTTGCATGATTTCTCAGAGATAATAGAGAGTGTTCTGAGAGCTCTTTTGCCAGCTCCTTTCCTATTCTAAGATGCAGTTTGTAGGATCATAGAAGTGCAGAGTTGGAAGGGGCCAGGAAGGCCATCAGGTCCACCCCGCTGCTGTGACAGGGCACCAGTCCACACCATCCCACTCCAAGGGCTGCCCAGTTTCTCTTTGAATGTCCCCAGTGTGGGGGAGCCCCCCACCTCTCCAGGCAGCTGGTCCCACTGCCCCTTTGCTCTGACAGTGAGGAAGCTTTTCCTGATGTCCAGCCTGAACCTGGGTTGTTGTAACTTGAGCTGATTATTCTGTTTCCTGTGCTCTGGTACCAGTCCATCAGGCTCTGGAGAGTTGAAGCCCTTCAAAGAAATTATATTCCTTGACCATTTTTTCATTAAACTGAAGCTTCAATCCAGACCCTTCATTTGTACTTCATTTCTGCTTGGGATGTCATAGACCTGCTTTTGAGAAAGGCAGAACCAAAGGGGAAATCGAGCACTTTGGGGTTTTCGGCATCATCTGTTCCCAATTTGCCCTCCTCACTGAGAAGCTGAGCCACCTTTCCTTTCTCTCGTTTACTGTGAACTTACCCCAGAAAGGACTTCTTGTTGGTTTTGGCTAGCCTCAGCTCATTCGCAGCTTTAGCCTTCTTCCTGACTTCATTCCCGCACCTCCGTGTCACTTGCCTGGAGTCTTCTCTTGTTATTTGGCCTCCCTTCCATACACGTCTTGTTTGTTTTTAACTCACTTCCAAGATTCTTGTGGAGCTACACCGGTTTCTTCTGCCATCTGCTGTCCTTTGTTTCTGTTGGAATTCTTTGTCATCGTGCCTTAAAAATTTCCTTTTAAAAAAACGCCCTCCCTTCTTGGATTCCTCTTTCCCTCGGGATCACTTGCCACAGAACCATACTTACCATGGTCCCGGGTTTATTAAAATTGGCTCCCCCAAAGTCCAGAGCAAGCGTACGGCTGCCCTCCAGTGTCGCTTCCCGTACAATCAAGGACTCGGGCGTGCTGAGGCCACCCTCCCCAGAGCTCCCGTGGCTTCCGCTTCACCTGCGCTCCCCTCCCTCAGTCGGGGTCGAGCCGAGGGCAGCCGGCCCTGTGCTCCCTCGCCGCCTGCCGTGCAAGGGTGGCGAGAGCTCGCACGGCCTCTGTGTCGTCCACAGCAGCGGGTCAGGCTGAAGGGGGGGGCCCGGCCCAGCGAGGGGCGCGTCGAGGTGCTGAAGGACGGCGAGTGGGGCACAGTCTGCGACGACCGCTGGAACCTGGTGACGGCCAGCGTGGTGTGCCGCGAGCTGGGCTTCGGGAGTGCCAAGGAGGCCCTGACGGGGGCGCGCATGGGCCAAGGTGAGCGGCGGCAGCGCCCGGGAGGACCCGGCTGGCCGCGGCTGGCCTCGGGACGAGCCCAGCTGGGGCTCGGCTTCAGGGCCCCGCTGCCTCCGGCCGCCATCCCAGTCGCCTCCAGGCAGGGTGGTCACCTCCCCTGAGCCCCGGAGCGTCTGCCGTGGCTGTGCTGCCCCTGTGCCCACCCCGCCCTGTCCCCACAGCCCTCTGGGCAGGGGCTCCCTGTGGGCCACCAGCAGCCGTAGGGCCGGGGCAGGCTTCAGGGGCTGCTCTGAGGGGCAGGCACTGATCGCGCCCCCGCCCCCCACAGGCATGGGCCAGATCCACCTGAACGAGGTGCAGTGCCTGGGGTTCGAGAAGACCCTGTGGAGCTGCCCACGGAAGAACATCACCCAGGAGGACTGCAAGCACACGGAGGACGCCGGCGTGCGCTGCAACGTCCCGTACATGGGATTCGAAACCACGGTCAGCTGTGCAGAGGGGGATCGTGGGGGGGGGGCGCTGCCTGCCTTCCCTCTTCGCCCCCCTGCTGGACCCCGGAAGCAGCCCTGGCCCTCCTCCAAAGTGGAGAGCCTCCACTTGGGGCGCCGGGGCTGGTCCAGCCCAGCCCAGCCCAGCCCAGCCCAGGGGTTGCACGCCTGCCCCTGGACACGCCACCCCCTCTGGGCCAGGAACGCGCCGCCCATTGGCCTGTGGAGGGCATGCTCCCCGCTCCCGCATCCCCTTCCCTGCTCCCTTGCTGGGGAGCAGGAGAGGAGGAGGAGGAGGAGGAGGGGCCCTCCCTCCCATGCACTGCAGTGGCTCGGTGGGGCGCAGGCATTTCCCCTTGGCACTCCTCTGACCCTGGGAGAAGCCTGGTGAAGGGGAAGGGGGCTGCCTGGAGCAAAGAAGCCCCTTCCTCAGGCCGTGGGCCGGGCCGAGCTCCCATGCGGCGGCTGCATTGCTGGCACGCCGGCAGGGCACCCTCCTCCCCGCGAATTGCCACCGGGCAGCGTCCTCGGAGGCCCACGCTGGTGGAGGAGGAGGAGGCGGCGGCGGCAGCTGCTCGCCTCGCCCCGCCCCGCCTCGCCCCGGGAGAGGTCCGGCCAAAGGGCGCCACCCCCACGGGAGCCCAGCCGGGGTGCTGCGCGCGTGTGCCTGGGGGAGCCCCCTCTCGTCTGGACAACCACTTGGGTGCCGCCTCGCAGAGGCCGCAGGAGGTGTGGGATTATGGGATGCTGGAGGCAGTGTCCGTGAGACACCGTGACCAGCACAGGTGACCTTGAGGCCAGCGGGAGGCAGCTCGCCTCCTGAGGCTGCCCCCCAAGGAGCAGCCGTGCCCATCCCCACGGCCTCATGCAGGGTGCTGGGCTGCTGGCAGCGGGCAGGGGCCAGCGCCGTGGCCCGCCGGCGAGACCCGCCTGCCACCCGCAGGCCTCGGCACGAGCAGGGCCCACTGGTGCTCCCACCGGGCCACCTCTGCCGACCGGCACCGGCCCTCCCCTTCTGCTCAGCTGCCGCCCCGCTGGAGGCCATGCAGAGCTCTGGCAGGTGGTTGAGCCTGGAGCCGGCACTGCCTTCGTCACTCGTGGCCCTTGGGATGGGCAGGGGCCGCCCTCGTCTGCGCTTCACCCCCACAGCGTTTCCCAGCACTTCTCCTGCCACCTGTCCTGCCACGGCAATGCTGGAGGCCTGGCCTCTCGCACTGGGCCCCGGTGAGCAGCCCCGGGAGGCCCCCCGGACCACAAGGGGCAGGGGGCAGCTGCTGCAGAAGGCGGGCCGAGGCGCAGTCCAGCCGAGGAGGGCCCAAGGGGGAGCGGAGGGGGCAGAGTGGGGGCCCCACGCTCACTCCCTTCCGGGCTTCTCCGCAGATCCGCATAGTTGGCGGCCGGACCACGTTTGAGGGGCGCGTGGAGGTGAAGCGAGCCGGGAAGTGGGGCACCGTCTGCAGCACAGGCTGGGGCACCACCGAGGCCATGGTGGCGTGCCGGCAGCTGGGCCTGGGCTACGCCATGCATGCCGTGACGGTAAGTGGGGTGGCCGGGCTCGGGGTGGGAGGGGGCGGGGGGCCCACCGGGGCGGGGCAGAGGGAGGGCGGCCGGGCCGAGCGGGTGGCGGCAGGAAGCCGCCGTCCGCACCCCGGTGCCTGGGGGAGCTGGCCTGCCACACATCCCGCATGGTGCGCTGTCTCTCCAAGGAAACGTGGTACTGGGACGCCAGCAACGTGACGGAGATGGTGCTGAGCGGGGTGAAGTGCTCGGGGCAGGAGCTGGCGCTCAGCCAGTGCCAGCAGCACCGCGCCGTCAACTGCCAGAAGACGGGGACGCGCTTCGCCGCGGGCGTCATCTGCTCCGAGAGTGAGGGGTCGGCCTTGGCTGGGGGGTCTGGGGCGGGTGTTCCCCGGCTTATTGTGGGCTCGGGTGGGAGCCCCTCACTCGTGGCTGGCCTTGCCGCAGCGGGATGCTCTCCCTGGCCCCGGAGCGCCTCATGGGGGAGCGAGGCAGCGGAAGAGGGAAGTGGGCCGAGCGGGTCTTCCGATGCCCCCGGTCGGAGCAGGGTGCCGTGGCCCAGCGCCTGCACTGCCTCAGCCCGGGTGCAGCCCCATCCTGCCCCACCCCACCCGACCGCCCGTTGCCTCTTCGCAGCCTCTTCAGACTTGCTGCTGCATGCGCCGCTGGTGCAGGAGACGGCGTACATCGAGGACCGCCCTCTGCACATGCTCTACTGTGCTGCAGAGGAAAACTGCCTGTCCAGCAGCGCCCGCCATGCCAACTGGCCCTATGGGCACCGGCGTCTCCTGCGCTTCTCCTCCCAGATCCACAACACCGGCAGGGCCGACTTCCGCCCCAAGGCCGGGCGCCACTCCTGGGTCTGGCACGAGTGCCATGGGTAAGAGGCGCTGCCCGGCCTGGCCTGGCCCGGCCCGGCCCGGCCCTCGCTCCCCAGGGGTGGGGGCCTCCCTGCCTCCCCCAGCCCTCCCCCAGCTCACCCTCCTGGCTCCACCCAGGCACTACCACAGCATGGACGTCTTCACCCACTATGACCTTCTGACGCCGAATGGCACGAAAGTGGCCGAGGGGCACAAGGCCAGCTTCTGCCTGGAGGACACGGAATGCCAGGAAGGTGGGATTGCTCCCGGGGGCGGGTGGGCCAGGCGGGCGGCTGTGGGGGGCACCCTGCCAGAGGGCCTGGCTGTCCGTCAGCACGTGCCGAGGCAGCGGCAGCTCTGCCCTCCCTCCCTCCCTCCCTCCCTCCCAGGGCCCACGTCCATGAGGGGAGGAGTGCCAGGGACCCACAACGGGGACTGACCCCCGCCCTTCTCTTGGGCAGACGTGGGCAAGCGCTACGAGTGCGCCAACTTCGGGGAGCAGGGCATCGCTGTGGGCTGCTGGGACCTCTACCGCCATGACATCGATTGCCAGTGGATCGACATCACGGACGTCAAGCCAGGCAACTACATCCTGCAGGTGAACAGCGGGTGGAAGGGAGTGCGTGAGGACAGGCCAGTGGGAACGAAAGGGCCAGTGGGGGCCTGTTTGCGGGAGTTGGGGGGCACAGCGGTGCCTCCCCTCGCTAGGCCGGGAAAGGTTCGCGTTGCCTTTTGTGGTTTGCAAACAAAGCGGCTGTGGGGTAAAATGTTTATCAGCGGCAGCAGCAGCGTTCGTATTTCCTGCCTGCCTGTTTCAACTTCAAGCTGCCCAGAGCAGCATCGCTGCACAAGCGCGAGCAGGATGGGAGAGCAGCAGGGAGCTGGAGGCAGGAGACAGTGGCCCCGCAGCTGTGGACTGGGCTGGAAAAGGCCCGGGCAGCTTCCAAACATCGTGGGGGGGGGCAGCGCTTTGCCAGGAGCACAGCAGCACCCCACTCTCTGTGGAGAAGGCTCCCCTCTTGCACTCCCAGCCGCCGCGGCCCAGATAGGAGCAAGGCCTGAGGCGGCAGAGCCTCCTGCGAGGATGGTCCGTGTTGTGCGGGAACGATGGGCCTGCAAGCGACCCCGTCCCAGGCTGCTGAGGGCCGAAAAGTGAGGCGCCAGCACGAGGCAGAGGGTCTCCACCAATGTAGTCCTGACCTGAGCTGCCCTGTGTTGCTCCGGCTGCGTCTTCCTTCTCTGGGAGCAGTGCAGGTGGCAGTCCAGCCCCCGGAAGCACCTGGGCCACGGCTGCCCCAAGCATCTGGCACCCTCCCAAACTGCACACCAGCTTTTTCGGGGAAGCACAGCCAGGACAAAGCCCGCTCTGGCGCTCTGCTCGGACCACCACAGCAGTCAGCAGAAAACTGGTTTGTCCCTCATAGAGCAGCCTCATCAAAGCATCTCTGGCAACGAAGGACGGCGACTGCCCCGGACATCCGGCAGCCTCCAGCTTCTGTCTTTCAACATGGGACAGCCTTCTGCAGCTGAAGTGCAAGAGTGACGCACAGTTGGCCACGTCGCACTGATGGCCTGCGGCACTGATCCGTTCATCTTTTTCGGTTGTGGGACAGGTGCTCGCTCCCCACCTGCCCAAGCGGCCTCTCTCCTCACTTCCGTTCTCCCTCTCCCATTACGGAAGCTGGAGCTGAGCGGGTGCCTGGAGCTGCTGGCTTGGAGGAAGCACTGGCAGCACAAACACAACCGGAAGAATCTACCACTGCAAGACGTGCTGTTGGGCATCAGCCTTCGTTCCTTCCAGGAAGGATGGCATCATCCCAGATAGGGAATCCTTGGCTCAACAGCACTGCAAGCTCCTGGAATTGTTGCAGATCAAGGCCGACTGCGAGTTGTCAGTGTGACGTGGCTGCAAAAGGGGCGAGTGCTATTTTGGGCTGCGTTAACAGAAGCATCACTCTCAAATCTTGAGAAGTGCTCATTCCCCTCCATTCTCATTCGGCCTCATCTGGAGCACCGGATCCTGTTCTTGGCGCCATAGTTCAAGAAAGATGCAGGCAGGATGGAGAGGATTCAGGGGAGGGCAACAAGGATGATCCAGGACTGGAAGCCAAGCCCTGTGAGGAGAGAGCGAAAGAACTAGGCATGTTAGGCCTTGAGAAGACTGAAGAGAGACATGATAGGGCTGCACACGCACTCGAAAAGTTGACACGAAGAGGAAAGGCAGAGAGCAGGACATGGAATAACAGACTCAAGTTGCAGGAAGCCAGGTTCTGGCCGGACATCAGGAAAATTTTCCAGACTGTTGGAGCTGTGTGACAGTGGAACCCGTGACGTAGGGAGGCTGTTGGCTCTCCCACACTGGAGGCATTCAGGGTGCAACCGGACAGCCATCCGAGAGGGATGATGTAACTTGGTGTCCTGCAAGAGCGGGGGGGTTGGACCTGATGGCCTTCTGGCCCCTCCCGGCTCTCCTGTCCTGATGCTGCGATTCCTGGAGCAGGAGAGAGACTGTTCATGGATATCGGAGTGACTGCCAAGTCCAGCAGAAGCTGTGGGGCAGAGTCAGACAGCAAGGCTTCTGCTTGTGAGCTCCTGGCAAGGGACTGCCCCTACTTCAGCCTGGGCGGACTGCGTGCCTCTCCCTGTCTGGGCAAAGGGCCCTGGGCAGCTGGGGCGGGGGGGGGGAGGTGACCAGGCACTGGCCACAGCAAGCACATAAACCTCAGCTCTGCCACGAGGCCTGGGGGGAGCCTCTGCCCACCCCCGTCTCCTTTACCCAGGAAGAGGAACAGCTGGCTATAAGCCAGCCGAGTCTCCCAGGCTGAGGGGTCTGGGCCTCTTTGCCTCGGCTGCTCAGCACACAAGCCGGCACCCCAGAGGGGCTTTACGGCAGCAGCTGCAGGCGGGAGGAGCTGCTGCAGACATGCGGGACACGGCAGATCCGCCTCAGGCGCGCTGCAGGCACCGGCTGTGTCGGGGGGGCCGGCCTGGCGAGCGCGGTGCCAGCAGCCTCCACGGTTGCTTTGCAGGTCGTGATCAACCCCCGGTACGAGGTGGCCGAGAGCGACTTCACCAACAACGCCATGAAGTGCAACTGCAAGTACGACGGCCACCGCATCTGGGTCCACAGCTGCCACATAGGTACGGGGGCTGCTTGCGTTGGGGGCACCTGTCACGCGGGAAGGGGGCCTGCCAGGGTGCAGCCGCCCCAGGCTACTCACACCCTTGTCTGCCGCAGGCGACGCTCTCAGCGAGGAGGCGAGCAAGCGCTTCGAGCAGTACCCTGGCCAGCTCAACAACCAGATCGTGTAGCCGGCAGCCCCAGCAGCTGCTGGGCACCAGACTGTGCCCCGGGGCACCCGCAGCCGGGAGGCGGAGTGGCCGAGACGCAGGACCAAAGGCCATGACACCAGGAGCGGCGGAGCAAGGAGGCTGACCGGCCGCGGGCGGATCACCACCACGCTTGCAGCCCCCCACCACGTCCGGGGCCCGGTCCGGAGGGCAGCCGCAGCCAGGCCTCCCCCTCCCGTCCTGAAGCAGGATGGCTCTGCGAGCAGGTGGCCAGGGGGGCGGCAGCACAGGGCCCGGGCTGGGGGGCCGGGCTGCTGCCTCCTGGGCAGTTTCCCTCTCCCCACCCCGCCCAGCCCCTCCTGGCGCCAACAGCCGCCAGCCACACGTGGCAGAGGCCCACTGGGCTCTCCAATAAAGCGCACTTCCTTGGTCCAGACTCGCCTGCCCGTCCTGCGCGTGTGAGGGGGAATGGTCAGCACCCTGCCTGGGGTGGGACCTTTGTGGGGTCCATCCTGTCACAGCGGCCGCAGGAGCGATGCAGCTGTGGGGTGCCACGCTAGCACCTGGGGGGGGGCACTGTGAGGGAGATGGGGTGGGGGTGCAGCACAGGTGGGGCAGATGCTTCCCCAGCACTGCAAAGCCAAGCCAGACACTCCCCCCCACCCCCAGCACTGAGAGCAATGCACCCGTTTCCTGGGCAGAAACATGCCCCCCCCCCCACCCAGCCTGTCCTCTTTCCTGCCCAGGTCCTGAGGAGGGACAACAGGACTTGTAAGGAGCCCCCATCTGCACAGCACCCCCTGTGGATGGCACCCTGGGACTCGACAGCCCCCCTATCCTGCAAATCAAATCCCCCCCATACCCTCTGGCAGGCACTGGCTGGGGCAGCAGTAGCTAGGACGGCCTTCTCGGGGCAGCTCACGGGGTCAACAGCCAGCAGGTCCACCGGTCCCCTCCCAAGCCCTCGGCCTGCGTGTGGGTGCGTGGCTCAGCCCGCCAGCCGCCCCGGGGCTCATGGCACACAGCGGCCATCGCACTGCATCGATGCCCCACCTTGCCTCTTGCAAGGAACCAGAGGCAGCTTGCAAGCCTTGCCTCTCCATCTGATCCTCACAGCCTCACAACCTTGAGAGGTAGGCCAGACCAGGGGCAGTGACTGACCAACCCAGGCGCTGGAAGGGGCCAAAAGGCCATCAGGTCCCCCCTGCTCTTGCAGGACACCAAGTCGCACCATCCGCCCCAGATGGCTGTCCCATTTCTTTTTGAGTGTCTCCAGCAAGGGGAGCCCATGACATCTAGGCAGCCGGCTCCTCTGTCATACCACTCTCTGACTGCCAGGAACTCCTCCTGGTGCCTCGTCTGTCTGGTTTCTTTTAACTCAAGTCCGTCATTCCATGTCCTGCACTCTGGAATGCAGTGCAGCCTTCGAGAGTGCTCCCGTCACCCCGGCTTCTCCTCCCGAGGCTGAACATGCCCAGGTCTGTCTTGCCTCCAGCACAGAATCGTGGCCGAGAGGAGCGGCAGGAGCTGCAGTCCCAGCCAGCACTGGGGCCACCACACCGGTGCTGCTGGGCCCATCCTCTCCAGCCCTGCCGTCTCAGCACAGGAAGCCAGGGGCCAGCCCGGCAGAAGGGCGCCAAGAGGGTTCCCCTCCAAGCCGCTAACAACCGCTGGCAGTCTGGCTGCTGCCTCTGCTTTTCACCACCCTTTTAAAAACCATTGCTGGTCCTTTTCCCTAAAGGCATGAATGAATTTCCAGTGTGCTGTTACACCTGCCCCCCACCCCCGTCGCACGTCCCGCCCCCAACCTGCAGGCGGCTTCTCTGCCAAGGCTCTCCCGAGCTGACCGTTCCATGTGGCCCCTTCGGGGCATCGGGCCCCCCTGCCTGAAGAGCACGGATGGAGGCAGGGCAAGGTGCTCTTGTGCCCAGCAAGTGTCCGCCCTGCCCTTCCAGGCCCTCCCTGGCTTTCCCTCAGCAGTGACCGGGCGCGGGGTCAGGGCTGGCTGCGCAGGGGTGGTGCACCTCCCACCAAAGGGGGGGGTCCCTCCGGCATGTCAGCGGAGGAGAGGACACAGCAGGACCCCTGGGCACAGGCAGTCGGCCTGCTGTGGAGCGGGTAGAGCCTACTCCCCTGGCAGGACGTGTCCGTTGTCCCAGTGCACTGGCAGGGAGAGCAGATGTGGGGGGACACGGTATCCCTCTATGAGCGCCTCGGAGGCCGTCACCAGGAGGAAGGCCAAGATGGCTTATTGCTGATGCCAGAGCGCAGGCCACGGAATAATCAGTTCAAGCTGCGACAACCCAGATTCAGGCTGGACATCAGGAAAAGCTTCCTCACGGTCAGAGCAAGACGACGGGAACCAGCTGCCTGGGGAGGTGGGGGGGGGCTCTCCCACACTGGAGGCATCCGGGCAAACTGGGCAGCCCTCTGAGTGGGATGCTGCAAACTAGTGTCGGGCTGCACCCGATGGCCTTCCTGGCCCCTTCCAACCCGTGTTCTAGGCTTCCCTTCTATGATCAGAGGCAGGGTGGCTCCATTTACTGCAGACGCGAGTGGAGGCATTGCTGCGCTTGCCTTGTCTCCCGCTCTTTGGGGACCTGGCTGGCCTCGCACGAAACGGGACCCAAAGCTAATCCATCCCTTGGCCTGATCCAGCTTCCGTGACCTTCCACTTCTTCACTCGCATTTCATATCAGTGCCCTGGAAAGAAGGCCCTGCCCGTGGCTTAAGTTTGCAAAGACCAGACGAGGGTGCCAGAAGAGCAGCTGGCACCTCGGAGGCTGCCTGTGGACATGAGGCGGCTGTGGCTGCCACCGGCCCCGAAGGAGCGCCAGCCCTGCCCCCCAGCTTAAAAGGGGCAAACGCTTTTGCTTCCCTGCCCACTAAGTCTCCCTCTCCAGTTGTCTTTCGGCAGCTACACAGGAGTGCCGGCATTTGGCAAGATCATGCTCATGTCCTTGCCCGGAAAACTGACACGGTGGCTGGTTCAGGAGCCAAAGGCGGGCAGCCAACAGACGGCCCCCCCGCCCGCCCCCCCGCAGTGCATCCTTTGATGTGCACATTCCCAATGCGGCAGCGAGGGACGCGGCGAGTCAGGAAGGGGAGGGCTGCTGGGGTCACAGAATCGTTTAATGATCGTGGACAATGCCCAGGGGCCGCGGGGCAAGGGAGCAGGTGCAGGGCGCCTGGGCCACACCTCGTCCACGCTTGCTCGGGGGACGCAAAGCCCGTCGCCGACCCTCCTCCTGCCAGGAGAGCGGGCGGCACCCTTCCCTGCTCCCAGCAATGTCCATTCTGGAATCGGGGGGGGGGGGAGGCACCAGCACTCTGCCGCAAGGACCCCCGCCTCCCCAAAGCCCGTCTCTACTCGGTGGCTTCCGGGGTGACTGTCAGCAGCAGCGTCTCGTAGCCACGGCGCACCAGCAGCGCCACGTGGCTCTGCGTCCGCACGGCCTCGTAGACGTCCTCCGTCTGCCGGGACGCCTGCCCGTTGATCTCCAGGACCACGTCTCCCGCCTTCAGACCCGCCCTGGGGAGACAGTGGCAGAGGGTGCAGGAGGGCAGAGCCGGCGCCCCACTCCCGCCACACTGGCGCCGGCCATCCATGCCCCGGCCCGGCCCACCCCCCAGCCAGAAGCAGCCGCTTACTGATGCGCTGGGGAGCCGATGATGACCTTGTGGATGAGGACGCCGTAGGGCACATCAGGGAACGCCGGATCTCTCATCTTCAGCTCAGACAGGATGCTGGGGGGGGGGGAGGAGAACAACATCAGCCCCCGGTGGGGGGGAAGCACTGCAGCCACTTGCAGTGGGGGGGGCAGACCACTCAGCAGCAGAGTCCTGTCAAGGCAGCCGCGTCCCACACGAGGAGAGACTTTGTGGACCAGGAAAGACGTGGCCTTCCGTGAGCGCCTCTTCTCCAGGTTCGCTGAGCTCTCCACACACCCCCTGCTTCCGCTGAGGAGGGGGCAAGCGACGATGCAGGTGTGGCCTGGCACCCCCACCTTGCCCCTCCTGCTTCTGCTCACCTGCTGCCCTTCGAGAGCCCTGGCCACACAGTCCTCCGGAGCGTGCCACCAGCGGCTCTTCCCGCAGGACGTGGCAGGAGCGACAGCCTGGCCTGGGCCGGGCAGCGAGTGAGCCCTTGGCGCTCGACCGCTCAAGAGCAGCGACCCGCCGCGGCTCGCTTGGCCACGCTGCCTGCCTGGTCCTCCTCACCTGCGCACAGCACGTGCTGGCAGGGGGGGGGGGGGGGGGCGTGGAACGGGCAGTCCCAGCAAAGAGAGTCCAAGACCTCCGTGCAGGCCTCCTGGGTCGGGCAGGGGCAGAGGGGGTGCCCCACTGCTCGGAAGAGGGTCCTGGGCTTAGCCTTCGGCCCCCTGAGGATTCTTCCCCCAACAGCTTTGGCACAACCAGATGCAACTACGCAGGGGCCAGAGATGCCCATCAGCCCCCTCCCCCCCGGTCTGGAAGAGCCCTGTGTGCAGCTCCCACCTGGGCGTCAGTGTCAGCATTGTCACCCCGATGTACCGCCTCTTTGCTTCAGTTCCGCCAAACCACGAGTCTGCAAGGGAAGAGGTCCTCAGCACCAAGGGGGATCCTGCGGGGCACCTCAAGGGGGGGGTCCCACTCCCCTGCAGCATCGCCTGCCCAGCTCCAGGCTCTGCGCCCCCCCCCATGCGGCCCAAAGACCTGTTCCCATGCCTCGCCGGGGCAGGAAGCCCAAACGGCACAGCTGGGCTGAACGGAGGATGCCTGCAGAGGGGCAGCAGAGACTCAGGAGGGGTCCGGCGGTGCAGAACCCTCCCCTCTGGCCGCAGCCCGCCCAGGTGAGCCTGCTGCAGGCCTGGCAGATTCAGGGAGGGAGGGAGGGACAGATGGCCAAAGTCCAGCCCCTTCACCTCCTTGCGACTCACCTCTGCGCTTCTCCTCCTGCTCCAAGAAAGCTCGCAGCCTGTCCGACGGGATGGCGAATGAGATGCCAGGCGTCACCTTCATGGTGTTCACGCCAATCACTTCCCCATCCTGGGAAGACACAACAAAGCCACAGGGGCCTGGGGTGCACGGAGGAGGAATAGGGGAGCAGAGAAACTCGCCACCTGCAACAGAGCAGCGTGACAACAGAGCCTGTGGCCCTGGGGGCTGGAGGCTCTCAGGATGCAGCTGGGCAGCCGTCTGCACGGGGTGGTTTGGCCTGGAGTCCTGCACGGAGCAGGCGGTGGGACTGATGGCCCTGCCCCTTCCCACTCTGCCATTCTATGCCCACAGTGCCTGGCGGGGTTTCCAGGTCCCCTGTGCCCCGGCTGGTGGGCAAAGCACTCCCAGCACTCAAACAAGTTGCCCCCACTCAGCTATTTCCAGACCGGAAAGCTGCCCCTCCTGAGCTCCCTGTTCTGCTGCCCGTCGCATAAAGTAGACAGGTAAAAGCCCCCCTCCTCAACTAAAAATACACCCAGTGCAGAACTTACTAGGTTGACGAGGGGACCACCAGAGTTCCCAAACTGCAAAGTGAGGAAACAGGTGTCACAGACCAAGTAAAGAAACCTCATTCCGAGGCACAACTACAGGTGAGCAAAACGCCCCTCAGAAGCAAGAGGATGCTCCCCCCAGAGATGTGCCACTTCCGCCCCCTGCACTGCCCCCCGCCATCCAAGGCTCGCTTACATCGATAGCAGCATCCGTCTGGATGTACTCCATGTCGGAGGCTGCCAGGCCCAGCTCCCGGCCGCCGCGCTGGACTGAACTCACGATGCCTGACGTGATGGTGTTGCGCAAGGCAAAGGGGCTGCCCATAGCGACCACAAACTCCCCCTGGCGCACCTCTGAAGAGCGGCCGAGGGGCAGCGTTGGGAGGGGGCGCTGAGGGAGAGACAGCCAACGATCAGCAAGCAGCACGATTCAGGAGAGGAACCCCTGCCACACACACACACAAGAGCAATAAAATGATGTGCCCCTCTGAAGAGGCTGCAGACACCCTCTCGCCACCGAGTCGGTTCCCACGCCCAGCTGGACCCGGGAACACCTCCTGCTGCAGCGTGCAGAGAGCAGCGGCTCTGGGTCGGGGGCCGCGAACCCAGACGGGGGGCCGGGCCGTGGCCACCACAGCCGCATGCACTTCCAGGCCTCCACGCGACCCAGCAGGGGACTCCGCCAGGCTCTGTGGGAGGGGTAGGGCAGGCCCCTCTGCCAGGCTGTGGGAGACGCAGCTGCTCCCCTGCGCCTCCCTCCCACCAGGCCCCTTCTGGGGCCTGCTGGGGGTCTCACCTTGGGGCTAATCTTGAGAGTCGCAATGTCTGCCACCTGATCCACCTGCCGTACCACCGCATCGTAGAGCTCCCCACTGGCCAGGCGCACCCTCACCCGCCGCCGGTTTGCCACCACGTGGGCATTGGTCACTATCAGTCCATCTGCAGACACCACAAAGCCGGATCCATTGGAGATTGGCACCTCCCGCCCAGAGAAGGGGTGCCTGGGGGCCAGGGAGAGAAGACCATGGTGAATTGGCACAGGAGGTGTGCGAGGGGAGACGCCAAGCCCCCGCAGCCCTGGTGAGGAGGAATGGAGACACAGGCAGCCACTGCACTGAGGCAGCTCCTGCCCCGTAGGAGCAGGGCTGGGGTGCCCTGCCTGGGAATCAGGACACACTGAGCAACGATGGCACGGCCTCCTGCCCGGGGCTGGACCAGACTGTCCCCGCAGCCCACCCTGCCCCACATGCTGCATCTCCACTGGTTTATGGAGACGGAGTGGCGCCAAGCCATGCCAGCGCTGATGACCTACCCTAAGCCCTGGAGCCCGGATGGCTGTGACCAGCGGGACTACGGGTCCTTCCCCAAGCTCCCACAAGGACTGTCCCCCAGACTGCTCCTTACAGCCCAGGAGAGCAGAAAAGCTCTTCTTGGTTCCAACCAGGGTCCCCCACCAGGCGCAATTCCACTTTGGGAACCGTCCGATGCTCGACCGGAGAGGGGCACTGGAGGCGAGGAGCGGGCGCAGGGGCTTCCTCTGAACGAGGCTGGGCCGGAGCGGCACTTCGGGGGGGCGCCAGGCCGGCCTGAGCCCCCTGGCCCGGCGCCTCCGCTGCGCATGTTGCGGGCGGCAAGGCTCCTCCAGGCGCCCGGCCCCGGCCACTTGCGGAGGGGCCGCCCGGCGCCGCCCCTGGCGACAGCGGGCGCGGGAGAGGGCGGGGCCCGAGCCCCCCGAGAAGCGGCGCGGCGGGTACCTGCCCAGGATCTCGATGTAGACGAGCGCCGGCGCGGTCCGCTCCACCACGTCGGCGATGAAGTTGTAGGAGGCCCGCGGGGAGCTCGGGGGCGGCGAAGCGGGCACGGCGGCGCGCAGCGGCCTGGGGAGGAGCTGGACCTGCGGCCGGCCCCGGCCCGCCCCCCGCCCCCC